TATGCTACTTTCTAAAGAATTAAACCACTGTAAAAGACGGTTGGTGCTGCTTCGGTTTGGTCCATTCAGGCAGCGCCGATAGCCCGCAAGAGGCCTTTGTCTATTATTTGATCGATGTGCACACTCTCTAGATCTAAGACATCACCCGTAGCGTGTTAGGTATATGTTTGTGTTCCTTGGAGCTACGAGGAAAACACCTTTTTTTATACACTCGGATGGTTTTCCGCGTTAAAGGCGTCAGTTACGTTGTATATTGTACGACTTATTACTTATTGTTATTTTCTGCATAAAGAAGAGCAAATTCTCTTTAATTTGGGGATCCTGGAGGGTCTGGTAACGACCTACCCTAATAAATACAAAAGACATTAATTTTTATATACATGTATTAACCATATCCTGCCACGCTTCGCTTTAGCATTTGTGGTTACAAAAAATAGATAAAAACCATCTCTTAAGCGTGTTGTATATCGTGTCAAAATTTAAGTTTAATCGGTGCAAAGCTTTTTGCGTTTTTGAAGCTCACACAAACCAAGTTAACATTTTTTTGTAAATAGATATACGATATTTGACTTGAAAGTGGTTCAAAGGAGTCTTACAAAGTGTCCTCATAATTGGATTAATAAAATGTTCTCATTAATTTATGTATGACTCGTCATTTGAGCGTATAATTGTCTTTGTTATCCTCGTACTTAAACTGGTGGGTACTATACACTAACTGATTTTATAGTAGATACAGATTGTTATCTACTTCGTTAGCGATTAATGTTTTAGATGAGACGCATCTTCATGTCACAATGATGATAATACGAATAGACATTCTTTAACAATGTTGGAACTTGTTACTTGTTACTTTTTGTGACAGCTATTGTAATGGTGTGAGGTCATGATAGTATTGTACTACACTTTCGTGGGTGAGGTCATTGACTAGACAATTATATGTAAATATTATATTTCGTTGTGGGGAGCATCGATTCAAATATTGATAGGAATATTTTATCGGTCGAGTGCATATGAGAAATGAAAAAATAGAAGAAAGACAGGACAGGTGAATTACCTCTTTTATTAGAAATTGCACTCTATAACCTTCGCCAAATTTAGTTATTCTCTTTTTACAAGCTTTTATTTAACTTGCGATGTAACTATGTTTGTTTGGGTGGAATCTTGCAACTCAACTTTGAAGCAGATACCTTCAACCGATTGAACTAAAATTTTGTGTACCCGTTTATTATTTACTATATTAGTCGATAGTCGATGATGATGATGATGATATTAGTCGATCAATAGGAATTTTTTAACCTGTTTATCACCAGATCGTAAGTGCAATAGTGTGTCCCTGACACCTCAAATACCTACAAAAATGTTAGGAATTCCAAAGTTATATCGATAAACAACTGATAGACTGCATAAAGTTTATCGAATCTGACACCATGACGAGCCAAGCGAAGCGCAAGGGCACAACATTTTCTCGAAGTGCATAGGGTTCCGTACCTTAAAAGGAAAAAACGGAACCCTTGTAGGAGCACTTTGTTGTCCGTCTTTGATCTAGAACTATGTAATTTGGCAAGTAACATCGTCTTATACAACGGTAGGAAAAAAAACTGAAAACTAGTATGATACACTTGTAAGTAAATCATAAAATATACATATAGTCTTTAATAAAGTAAGGAATCAATCATCGAGGTACAATTTACTTATAAAACACAATAATATTAGTAATTATAGGTTTTGCAACTGAATTTCGGGAAAAGTTTGGAATATAATACTTATGTACCTACAAATTTGTACGGAACACTTGGTAGGCGAGTCCGACTCGCACTTGTCCGGTTTTTTTGAGCCATGAGGGAACTGTCATTTTTATTAGATAGGTATACCAGATAAATAAAATTTTCGGCATATGATGTCAATAGTGGATTTATTAAACATATAAAGTTTCAATTGCATAGCTCTTGTACTTAAGATTTTATTGATATCTAAAAAATCCCAATTTCGTTACTGACTCACTGATAATGATCATGAGCCAAACTTCTACCTCTACGCGCCTCTACAAGCCCTGACTTCACAAACTCTTCACCTTAGTGAAAATATGTGGCTAGGCCGTTCCGTTACTACAAGAACTTTTGTATAACAGAAAAGTAATGAACAGTGAATAAATTTTTCACCTTACTTTTAATTTATTGCACATATTTTGGTATTCGGATGGTGCGATATTATTGTAATTTACAAAATAATGATGATTTCATAGTAGCTATCAAGTTCGTGATGTCATCCCCTATCGGTAAATGGCGACTAGGGCGTGTTAGGAATGGCGACTTAGCAATACCTATCGTTTTTTTTTTAATTTGGGGATGAATCGATGTTAAGTGGAAGTACCGAAAAGGGACCAACGGAAAATATGAATAAACTATGTCAAACTAAATAAAAGCTTAAAAAACTTATGATGGAAAATAATTTAAGTAACAAGGCCGTAAGTAATTAATTTTGTTAACAATTTTTTTATCACTAGCTGTCCGTTATTACTGAACACCTTAAATATTGCATTTCGAGATAATGCTTTTACCGTCGGCGTCGTCGCAACGTCAGGCAACGCAAAAGTATGTTGATCCCGCCATGTGTAATGTCCGAATTACTTACATTTCACTTAATTTCACAAATAAATGCATATTAAATTACATCTCTACATATTCTGTAAATGTGTATGTATATAGCATGTGTTACTTTAAAAATCTGGAACTTTATTGTAGTTAGGTTATATTTTTAAATAAATTACATTACTATGTAATAACTATTACGTGATCGCAGTAATACCCTATACTATCTAGGCACATTATTCAGATATACCTATTTAGCTTTAGTAATAAACCTATTATTGGTAATAGAGTTTAGTAGCTATCTACTTACGTGAATATTTTTACTATGATTATATCAATGTAAATATCTTAGATTAATTAATTATTCAGTTATTTAGCTTTGAATACTGTGCATTTAAAGTACTAGCGAAGAAGTTAAAGTTAATAAACAGTTTGGTATTTTTTCAGTCGGTAAAAGCATAAAAATAAAATTTGAAAACTGTAATAAAAAAAAATTACTAGTAAGTATACATACTAAATGATGGCTCTCTTTATAAGGAAGTCATTTCTAATTTTTTTTTTTTCTAGTTTAGAAGTTTTAACACAAATATTTTAAGGATCGAAGAATTTTAGAAGTTACAGAAGAATCCTTTAGGGATAAACAAACTACCCATGAAAAAGATATATATTATAACTAAAACAGAATATTGCTGCAAAAGACCACCAGTAGTCCACCACTGGACATTGGCCTCTCCTTAGAAAGGAGTTGTACATGTCTGAGAAAAGTTGTTTTTAATTAAATTGCTGCAAAATTACATACGATAATTTTTTTAAATGGTCCTCGTGGACATCTGCTACTAACTCCTAAGTTTTAAAATCTGATGTTTTTTTTTTTAAATTTGACATTTGCTTTAGTTACTTTGAAATTACTAAGTTAAATATATAATAAAATAACATAGATAAAAAGGATGTGATTGTGTGATTTTGATATGATTCATTACAATACGTAGAAATTAATTAAATTACTGAAAAATGGAGGTAGGTATGTAATAATAACTAAGATGACTCATATATCTTCTTATGTTTCTTAAAATTTACATAATCAACTAATATCCGTGCAAGTTAGTATCCATATAAACGATAAAACTTGTTACTGTACATGCATTTTGTATCTTATAAATAGTACATGCATACGTTTACACCTCTTTTCTCAAAAGGCTAAGTCGAAGCATATTAAACACCCACATGAGCCAACTATGATTTTGTCCCGCTTACATAAGAGGACAAGCCTTTTGTCGCCAACCTGGCACTTTGGAAAATGAAGGTGGGGAAATTAATAATTATAATATCTTACACATCGATCCCAAACTAGGCAGAAAATGTACTATCGTAACCAAAATTCTGGTAAGTAATCTTATGTAGGATAACTACATGTACTGGTTCTACCAATAGGGATGACCTGCTTTTGACAGCTCATAGCGGCCATGTTTGATGATGGATCTTTGACGTCTCTTGACATTTGTGTTCAGTAAGGTTTGCCATTTTATTATGTCACGTTTCACTTTAAACCAACGCTTGGAAATTGTCCAAAATTATTACGAAAGTGACGAAGGAAACCCTGTTACTGTGAATGGCGAGCGCAATAACTCGATGTTAACCGAATATTTCTTTCCGGAATTTAATGATATTGATGCAGACGACCTTTATTTTCAACAAGATGGTGCACCACCTCACATTACTCGAGTGAACATGGAATTATTGCGTGGAAAGTTTGGTGAGTCGTTAATTTCGAGAAATGGACCGATCAGTTGGCCACCAAGATCGTGTGATTTAACACCTTTAGACTATTTTCTTTGGGGTTACGTTAAATCTAAGGTGTACAGCAATAATCCAGCTACAATTCGTGACCTAAAAACCAACATTCGACGAGCCATAGCCGACATACCTACCGAAGTGGTGCACCGCGTCATCGAAAATTGGCGTGAGCGGGTGACCGTCTGCAAAAAGAGCCGCGGCGGTCATTTGGCCGATATATTATTTAAAACATAAATTGCATAAAATTATCTATCAAATAAATCAATCGGATGCATTTTTCATAGAAAATTGTGTGTTTTATTCCATTTTTAAACCAGGACGTTCTTATTGGTAGACCCCATCTTAGGGAATGTATTCCAAGGACAGAGGAGAGGCAATGGAGAAATGGGTATTACTAATACGGGTGGATTGGAGAATGTACGTAATTGCGAGGGCAACACAAATTGCACACTATAACTGGTAATGTTGATTAAAAAAAAAAAGAAAAAAGGTATTTAAAGCTTTTAAGTATTTATTTCTATGACGATTTCCTAGCTGATGTCATCCTTGGATTCCCCCACTATTCGGTACTTCCGATGTAAAATATTTAACTGAACTAAGTTATTGTTGTTTATGCAGTGTTCGAAATGCTGGTATGCGCGCGACAGTGCGCCCGCCGTAAGTCGCTCACTCTCACATTCGGAGAATTCTGCGTGTTCGCCGCTGAACTCCGTCGGTGTTCGAGACAAGCCAGGCAGTGAGTATTTATTTATTTCCTATACATATTGTTACGCCACTTCTTAATTCTTCATAGCATTAAGATTTTGCACATGAATACCCAACCTACACAAAGCAGATATAACACTTCCAAAAACAGCACACCGTATTATTCTGTACCATTTCCATACACAACTTTTCATAACTCTAAAATTCTTTAGAAAAATAATTCGTCACACAGCCCTTGCACCATTTTAAAACACATGATACTTAAAACTTAGTCAGTTCGGTCATTAGTCAGGTTCTGCTAATTTTCATACATTTCCTTCCGTAAGAGGTCTACCAAATTCTTTGCTTATACATTTTCGTATCAGAATAAAAAGAAAATTCCCTATGCGTCACTTCCTTTTCTACGAGTACCTACATCATTTTTTTGTTAAGTGTAGAATAATATATGATAAAGAATTTTACATTTATATTCGTAAAGACACCTATATAAAGAACCTTTGGATCTAAGGTATCATATAATAGATTCTCATGAATTGCAGTGGCTATTAGTGTACCTCCATCAAACATATACAAACTGAAAGAATATAGTAAGACCTATTGTCTCCATCAAGGACAACCAGTCATCAGATTAATTTTACCGATGACGTAAAAATGATCTGTCTCCTTTTTCTCGGTGTTGTGCCGAACAACATTGGCTACCTCTGGCGCGTGCATTGACCCATGAATGCCAAACAGTAAAGCATTTGTCATGCAGTGAATTTTAACTACCATAGCCTACAATTTCACTCTTAACATGATTTGTTTTATGCTCAATCATGGTCCGACTATATTGTGTAGTACATCGATCATGTTTTGTTTCTAATTTCAGTTTTCATTCGCAGGACATCGAACAAACCTGAGTCTCCACAATGGAACATAGAAAAGGAACTTAAAGATAAGGACGCCATTTGTAAACATGTAAACGGTGAGAAATTTTAAATAGTTTTTGTTTGCTATAAAAATAAGGTCTTTCAGTGTCCCTTGCTGTCGTCGTGAATTTTCCTGTTGTGAAAGGTCGAATATTCCGTGATGACAAAAACAGTGACTAAACATGCCGTACGGCAGTACCGTACAACCAATCTACAAATAAACATCCGTAGTCCCCACGGTACGCAACAACATTTATTACTATCCATAAATACAATTACTATCTATAAATATTGTGTCAGTAGCTAAAACTAACTCGATTGAATTTATAGTCCTTTATCTATTAATTTAACCATCTCAAACATATTATTTTAAATTGTTAAAGTTGACACGATTATTTTGAAATTAGCCAGCAGCATTCTGATTACTTTCACATAAGGAGTTTAATATTTCGCATGTAAATGTATATTGAAAAATTGTTTAATTTCTAAGCTAATGTCTATTTTTAATTAAGGTTAGTTAAGTAACAGCAATTTTGTACTTCGTATATCATGCTTTTGTTTTTTTGTTACTGTAATATTTGTTACTGTCTATGAAAGGACAATTTTATAATTTTTTAATTTTTTTTTTATAATTTTAACTTACATATCAACCAAAAGTATCTAACATAAAAAAAATGAAAAGTGACCGTCCTTATTTCTTCATCAGTAAAGTTTGATGTACGTCTTCATAATAATAAATAGGAACTAAGTCACATTCGTGAGACATGTGATCATCACTTATTGCGTATATGTATGTTTTTAATTGTTCAGCTATTAATGTGATCGCCCTATGTTCTACGTTCAGTCATCATATATTATGTTTGCACTCAGATGTAGTAATGGGATTTACGTCAATCTTTCGGTGCATCTTGACTTATCTATAAAATTAGAAGTAACATATAAATCTTTCTCGAATTGTAAATATTAAAGTGCAGAATTTACGAATTTTTAAATATCCGTGATTTGGTGTCTTTATAAATAAAAGTTTTTCTAATTCTAGTTTTTAGGTAGATTATTTTGTAAATTAAATATTTTAGATGAATTCTGTTGAAGTTATGAAGTTATGAATATACCCTTAAATTACATTTAACAGAACATTACACTAATCGGAAAGAATTTTTACTGTTTAAAATAAGTTTATAAAAGGCAGAGTTTACTTAGTAAATATGTCGTGGCCTTCCAGGCTCTTCCGCACAGACTATAAACAGAGTACGGAAGCGTCTGTTATGATGCGTCTCACTCAAAGAGTACTACGCGCCCACGATTTCGTCCACTAAATGATGCGAATACAATACATTGATGACACTGAACTGTTCCAACAGATATAACGTAAACAAACGATACTGCGTCAGCTTCCTTATCTCCCGGAAGATTTGTTCTGTCAAATAACGACTTTTAAAAGCAAACTAGTTATTATTTCACATTTTCTAATAGGTTCATTGTGTACCATGGGCATTAAAAGTTCTAGTACCTATATTTTGTTCTTTGCATAATGATTTTTGTAATTTCGTGCAAACAATATACGTAGTCCATATTTCCCTGGACATATAGGTCATTTTTGTTTCGTTAATATTACTAAGTTAATATATTTGACTAAAGTCACAACTTTAAGTCGCGTCGTCTACAACTTTCGTTTATTGAATGCTGATGTCACTTTAAGGACGAATATAAAGACTAAACAGGTTTTGTGAATTAGTTATGGGTATCCTCAACACCATAACTCTCGTATATTTTATATATGCTATAGAAATAACGGAATATTTTATAATGCGGAATTGGCTAGTACATGAACGTAGATTTGAGACGCGGACGGACGCCAGTTGGTCGTCGACCGTTCGCGGGTGGACAGCGTGCACGCCGACACTGCTGCACGATACATCCGCAATCATGCCGCCGACTACAATGATAGTGCCCTGTGCGTTTCAGTATTCTTGTTTTCTGTTTTTATCAATGAAAAAGTTTATTAATAACGACTACGCATACTTGTGCTTGTTGGAGGACGACAATATTTATTTTTATTGCAAAGAGATTAAAAGAAGTACATTTATTGCTCATACATACAACTTTTCGATCTCAACTTATACTTTATCGCGTGACGCAGTGGATTTTATGATACATAATGTGTGAAGTTCTGTTTGAAGTTGTGACAATTGAGAATATTATTCTTTTCAAATCTCGTGTGTGCGGGCGAAGCAGACGATGTTAGTGCGTTTATTGATCTGGCGTTGTGTTTACGTTTTGGCACTGAACGAATATCCCGAATTGGATTGATGTGTTGGTTGGCCACGTTTTATAAACTGCAGTGTAAATATGAATGAATAACTTACCTGTGCGTTACATTATATTTAATTATTTTTTTAAATTTTATCTTCAAACCAAGGAAATTTTAAAATCGCTCTTGTTTGCCATTTTACTTTATTTTGCATGGGTGAATATTGTTTATGAGCTTTTGTTTGTGTTTATATTTAAACGTGATGATCTACAACATACAGTAGAGAAACTAGTTTACATTTGTTCGAGGTGAATGCGAGATCTTTTATGGTAATCATCAATCCACAAGTATGTGAGTAGGCGTGTTAAATAGTACGACAATCGGCCTACACAGTACAGCCCACTCAGTTGATACTCATCAATCATTGACAAGTACCTACGTCTGATTTGAGGAACTTCACTTACCATACTTTCTAATCCATACTGTACATGTTCATAACCCTAGTATAAACAGTAAATACCAATTGTGAGCTATTACCATATCTCTATATTATATTTGCAAACTAATTAATTATCATCGCTTGTGGTATATTGTTATATAGCTCATAATACCTGCCTAACAACCTAGTGTTCAAGGTTTTACCAACTTGACAGAGATTGACCGTGCATATTATTCAGACTTTATGTATAAAACATAAGGTACCGAACCGGTCCGTATAGACCACTCATCAATCTCTGACATACTGTGGTTTGTGTTCATTGGTTGCGTGTTCAGCCGCAGTACAATTGTTAACAATTAACAGTGGTTCTTCTGCGTGCCTTAACTCCATCTTGGAAATAGGGTCAACTCATCCTATGATGCGTGTAGCATCAAACGTTATGCATTAAAAAAAAACGCGTGACATTGCATATTATTATTTAATAAGTCCTTTTCATTACAAATATCTTCATTACTGTCGTAGATAATACATTTATTTATAATGTTAATAGGAACGAGAATTGTTTATGATTAATGTACTTAGTAATAATTGCTACCTAGAATAGAAAAAAAACTCATTTAAACAAGGTGTATGTTAAGACGTGTGGTGTTTCGCAGGCAGCGAGGCATCACCTCCGCCCTGCGAGGTGTTCCTGGGCGGGTCATGTAACCCAACTACTTGGAGATCAGACATAGCCATTCCGATACTGAAAAAGATGGGCATCACGTATTTCAACCCGGTAAGTAAGGATCACAAGTTGTGGTATGTTTTCCTATGTACGCATATAGAATATTTTATTAGCTAAATCTTTGTGGGAAGGACGTATAGCGCACCCGCTTGATAATAATAAATGTAGCTTAACTAATTTAAGGCATAACAAATTGAATCACCATAATACCACTAAATTACATTGAATATTTGACACAAGATCAAGGTTTATTAATGTTTATTAGCTCACTTGCTCTTTTACTTTACAAAATTTAATTGACAACCTCGACAGGTCTCGTTCTTTTGTAAAAAATAACCGTTCTGCGCAGTTTCACCTGCGTTTATGGTGACTACTCCGCTTTTGAGGGACCTAGCTTAATATTTCGTCTTTAACTTTAGTCACTTAATACTTTATTCAATGCACAGATTATTTTTCAAATCCAACTGGTAGTGCCAAAGATTAGTGCGATTAAACAAACAAACATCAAACGAAAAGTTCTTTAGCTTTATTATATTTGTAAAGATAAGTGTTGATTGTTTGAGAACAAGGTCGAAATTCTTGTTGATAGTTTCAAATAAATGATTGCACTGTATTTGAAATATTGTTTTCATAATGTATATCTTTAAATCACTTATTGCTATGCCGAAAATGACAATTTACTGGATAGAGGTCGGGGCGGCAAGTCAGTTGATTGTTCACCATAAACCAAGGGACATCCTTTACAACAAACCACTCAGAAGATAAAATCGACTTTAGAGTTGTTATCCGCCTCCTCCTATTCTCTATAGCGGTAATATCATTTTCCTTTGTGACTTTAATTTGCCGTGCCCTATTTTCTCCAAACAAACTAACATCAAATAAACTGTTGCATTTTTTTAGATTAGGCAATCGTATTCGAACAAGCGTTCTTTATTATGTACTATGGTATAATTCCTTTTTCTGTGGGTCCCCCCCCCCTCCCTCCAGAAATTAGGCGGGGAAGGGCAACGAAACTCGGGCACTCGGTGAAAAGCAACGAAAGAATTCTTTAAACTGCTTTATAATAGCTTCAGAAAAAGTTATTACTAAAGCTTTTTTCTATGAAGCTTATCATTTCGGTGAGCCGGGCCCATTTACGAAGCATGTCTCTTCCACGTTTCAAAGCTAAACGTTAAAATTGTATCGGTAAATATGAAATGGAACGCACATCCTTCATGAGCAGGATTCTATTCTTGAAAGCAGCTCATTATTTGGTACGATCATAATGATAACAGCGTGTGGGCGACAATTAATATTCACAATGGTAGCTATAATAGCAATCTTTATAAGGCCAGCTATAATCTATCGTCAGATTCTACTTATTAATCTTGATTCAATACAAACCTTAAATAATGTGGTCAATTAAATATATCTCGAATTTTCTGTGCAAGTAACATATACCTTATGGATAACACATTTATCGTTCATAATTCTTGAAAGGAACGTGATCGAGATTTATCTAAGATTTGGGTAATTAGATACAACACGTACATAAAAAGAACCGATATATTTTCAAATATTGGTAGTATTATATAATGTATTCAATCAAAAATCCTTATTTTTTTAATTTTAGTTGTAATTTATCTTCATTAGACAACATTTACAGTGCAACGTTCTGAGGACCCTGATAATAAAAATTTAGATTTTACATACTATAAAGTATAAAAACGATCGATTTTCGTCTTGTAATACAAAATAGTATATCTATGTATGTGTATATTAATATAAACAAGGGATCCGCTGAGCATCGTGTTGTATGAAACCTATCTCGCCCAGCGTTTTAGACGGTTAGCTAATATAGCGTAGGCGCTTGTTGAAAATGATGAGCAGCGTACGTATAGAACTGCGTATAGAAATTGCGTCGCTTATCAAATGACAAATAACAGGTTTGTTTGTAATGCAACTACTTGGTGTGGTTTTAGTTAGTCAACTATTTGCTACTTACCAATCTGAATTTATTCTTTGGAAGTGACTGCAAGATAACTCAAGGTTTTAAAGTGTAATAATGGCACTATAAAAAACGATAATTTTAGTTTAATATTTCGAAATGCGTCATCTGCGCACCTGTTCTTTTTCTCCAAAGAGCGTAAGCGTTTAGCGTATTAGGCTTGTGGTAAGTAATAGAATAATAGAAGGTAAACATTGAAGTTTTTACATCAAACTAAAACAACATGATAACAAGAAGAATGAATGTCTACATCGTAGGGTCTGCTTTATTATTGGTAAAATTATGTTAGTTATTGGATGCGCGCAAAAACGTCAATTCTCGTAATAACAATTAGATCAAAATTCAGTTCCGATCGATCTCACAAATGTCATAAAAGGTATTTTCGTAGTAAAGTAGTAGTAGTAAGACTAGCAGATTACCGATTTAACTTTCGGTCACAATTCGATATATGATTACATTACAGTCAACGTTGGATGTTTCTTGGATCATCATATGGTGCCACTATTCTGCTTAATTTGTGTTATAGATGGTTTGTCTATCTTAATATGGATTTCATCGAGCACTTTCAGAGATTTGCTTTTTGAACTGTGTATTTATGCTCACGTAACTGCAATCAATATTGATAAACCTATAACTGTCTTGTTAAGTTAGACAGAGAATAAAACTGATGACGACACTGATTTATGGCGGTGCGGTGTCTGGATGCTGAGATATGAAACGAAGATTACGTAATTCAAACCCACTCACAATTCGTGGGCATAAAGAAAATACTTACAACTTTCATCTCGTGTCGAACTGAAGTTACATTTTGATTAATGTGTTAGATAATAATTTACTTACGTCTTTTTTCAAAGGAATATTATTTCATTATGTAGTAAGTACTCTACATAAAGGTAATGTGCAACAGAATTAAGAACCATTAGTTTTTGAGGGCCAGTGTGGTTATTAACTAAAAATGTTACACATAAATCAAAGTCTACTACATACTATTTATCACATGATAAATTAATAACGAAGCTCAGTAATTATAAATTAATGTTTAAAAAGTCTCACCGACTTCAATACATCGACGTAATGTAGAATTGTAATAAACTTTATTCCTCATTCCTTAATATTCAGCTTTTAAGGGTATGTTTGTCCTAAATTTGAATTGGGAATAAAATATACTAAACAGGAAGTATATATTTTCAATTAAACAAAAGTTTGCCAAATCGATTCATAAATGGCGAGTCCTGAATCAAATTGAGAATCTCCTCCTTTTTTGCAGTCGTTCAAAAAGGCCCTTTTGACACACAAATTATAAGAATTTTACTTATGTTAATGAATATACAAAATGCTTAAAGGCTGCCTCTTAGTTTCCTCAAGTACTTTTACATAGACCAAAAAGTTGTTGAAGTAGCTTTGAAGGAAATATTCAGTATGTAGTGTTGTACTATCTCATGTCGACTTTGCCCTTCCTGTACTTTGACCATAATATATGACTAAAATATTTGGTATGCACGTTATACTCATTTGATGTCACTACGACTAAATAGAACATGACGAACGTAGTAATCAAACATCCATAGGTACCTGTTTTACCACCAATTTATTCTTACTAAGGTCCACCTAATTATGGTAAATTCTTATTAAAGTATATTAGTCAATGCCTTTAGGTGTGTGTGCCAGCTGTGGGCATTTTCCTGTTTTACCTTTTAGCGTTTCTTTCTATACACCTGATTTGCAAGCAAGTAATAACGAATGTTTGGTGGAGTGACGATTTACGCAAGATGGCTGGCAGGATCGGGATGCGGGAATCCCAAAATCGATTTAAGTGGCGTAAATGGGAGAGGCCTACGTCCAGCAGTGGACTGCGATAGGCTGATTTTTTTCTTTTCTTATTTTTCTTATTAAAAAGACAACTCACGCATTAGGAATATACCCTGTGTCGCGGGGGAATTCACAAACATACATGAAACGGACGCAAAGATCACCCAGGCTCAGAACAACAATTTGTGAATCACACAAAGTATCGTCCCATGTGGGGTTTGAACCCACAACACTCGGCGTAATAGGAAGCAGCGTGGCGACCGCTTAAACCACTACGCCATCCGTGCAGTCAAATGATGATGATGATGATATCACGGAATCGCAACACGTGTGGCGAAACTTTTGCGTTACTAATTCTATAAAACCATTTTAGGCCATCGCCAAAATAGTGAGATTCACTTACTACCAGAAATTTCTGAGATAAACACGTCCTAATATATAGATCTCATTTTGCGCTTATTAAATGCATAATTTCTGTATCGATTAAAATATCCGAGAAATTAAAAATGCCACTGAGTTCATTCGAATTAAACATCTTAATGTTTGATGTTATATGCATGATACTACCACTGTAACAGTGATGTAGGTACAGATAAATTGTTATCTGTTTACCTATCTACCTATCTGTATCTCTTCTTTCACCAATAAGTAGGATAAGTCGTATATCACAAGATGTTTTGAACATTACACGACTATTGACTCGATATTTCAGAAGCCAAAGATTCTTGCTATTACAATGTTTTAGAAAATTTACATGAAAATGGGTCTAAATGATGCCAAAAAGGTGGGGTGACGCTATACAAGTATGTAGGGCTTCACAAAAATTCAAAAAACACAACTGATAAACAAGCTGGCGAGATTGATTTTTTTATGAAATAGGAGGCAAACGAGCACACGAAGCATCTGATGGAAAGTGACTACCGCTGCCACAAGTGAGTTGCCAGCCTTAAACGAGATATACTTTAATAGTTACTTAATACTCTAATCTAAAGTTAATATAATTTAAGTTTTTTATAGTTTTATTTGAGAAACAATTGTATAATCGTTGCATGATTCAAGATTAACAGAAAGTCATGTATTGTCTGACAGCAAGTCGAAGATTGGTCGACGGAGTTGGTGGAGGTTGAGCATCGTGCGAAAGCTGCAGCTCGAGCGCTTTTGTTCGTTTTGGATAGTGAGACTCGTGCCGTAGCTGCATGCGTCGAAGCTGCGCACCTCGCAGCAGCTCCAAGGGACTTGTTGTTAGTACTCAGACCGTACTCAAGGCATCAAACTATCGGACATGAAGCCATCAGCGACCAGTGAGTGTGCCATCTGATTTCTTATGAACATTTTAAAAGAAATTGAATTCGTGACTATGATTTTTCAGTAGAACTGACCTAAACTCTTTTTTACATACCCAGAAGACTTAATGTAGATTACCACTAAAGTTGATCACTTTACATTCACTGTCTGAGAAGAAATAGCTTAGCTATACACATTATTCTAAACCTCATCAACTAGGCTATGCTTAATGTAGATGTTGGGAGTGAGTATAGAATACCGATTATTATTAATTGTAAAAGGTTTAGACGGAAAGAGCATGCCTACTTAATTAAAAAAAATGAAAATGATAGAAAAACGAGTATGTTTCTATATTGGTATCCCGTTTCTATAACTATTCCTTTGACATCTAAGCGTCTAAAGTGAATGACGTAATTAAAATAGTGAAAGATCCAGTGCAGTGAATCAATGGTAATATTACAAATTGTCTGTCTAAGATATTCATAAATAAATGTCGATATAGATTAAACTCTATTTAACCTTGTATCATCAAATTAGATCCTTAACAAGGCTTATTTCCAAACCTGCGACTACTGCTGGTACTCATACGTTTGCATACTTTTATATTCTTTCTATAACAAAGGTGATGATGTTATTTTAACACGTCAAACAAATATAAATGTCGATAAAAGGTTAGAAACACTACAATCTTGCCAATTGCTGACGTCAGTTTGTGATTATGAAGTCTGAATCACACGTGTGATTATCGCGTAATTGTTAGTTTGTGTGTAGAAAACTGTTTAATAACATATTCGATTGTGACCGCACAGTGAGTACGTGGAATTGTCGCGTGCTCGAGCGACGTTGCAGGAGGCTGTGGAGCGGCGCGGACTGCCGGCCTTCACGGACATACCATCGGCGTTGCGTTGTGCGCGGGCAGTATTACGGGGCGCGCGTACCCACCCACGACACTCGCTTGGTCACACAATTTTGCGGCTGAAGCGCGCCTATGATGCAGCGGGCGGTAGAAACTCTCGACTTCCAAGGTGTAAAGCCGTCGACACCCTAAAAGATGTGACGCGAGTACCTCGGGAAGTAGCCGATCGGTGTATACCTCCTGCTGCTGACACCGTTGACTTTGAAACGTTCTGCGCTTGCGTTGCTGAACTGGCCGCCGACGCAGGTCAGTTCGATTAGCATGACTTTTACTATTTGTTAAAGCGTTACAGTTTAATGGAAATGTTTCATCTACGATGAATGTTCTATAACTGAACGACGTAATTGCTTTTCACGATACACCATATCGACTAAAATATTTCTGGCAATAAAAAAAGGAATTATTTTCTGCCGTTATAGCAACTAAGATGTTCATGCTATCTGTTCAGGTTTTTTTGTAGTTAGATCGTGTATATGTTTTGGTTGTGGGTAGTCAGTAAGGGGTGTGGTATTTGTTGAAGGCGGAGTGGCGAGTCCATTGACGGCGGGCGGGGACGTGAGTGAGACAGTGACGTCACGGATCCGTCGCGCGTTTCGCACGCTCCGTGATTTGCTCACCCCGCCCGCTCCCGGTGCGTTCGCACACTTTACATACATTTAGCTTTGCACTTGCATTTATTTCACTATCCATGCTGGCTGCGCTTCTGTTTTGAAATTCTTAACTTTGCCATTGTTGGCTTTGCTTCATATTTCAGTCATTTGAATTTCTTAAACAACATAAGTTTTCAATGCTTATCTATTATACCAACTGTTTCTATTTTTATAAAAGGCACTCCTCCGTTCTTGAATCATCTGATTGTTTACTTTTTTAACTGTTGATTCTAATACCTATTCATTGAATTACGCGTTATACATACCTTCGTATGTATCACTGTTCAAACAAATGCAAATTCAATTACGATAAACATTTGATATTATGATTGTTGCTGTAAAAATGGAGATTAATAATAATTAACTTGCAGAATCGAGTAGTCGAAATGGACAAGAAGCATCGGGAGTTACGGGAGCAACGCCGCGTGGGGAGGCAAGAGCACACGAGCCTGCGGCTTCTAATGGGCTTATGTTTAATGGCCATAATGCTAGACTTAAGGCTTACGGTCGGAAGCTTGGCTTAATCATTCCTAAGGTACGTTCACTACAATATGTAAAGTATAACTGTAATCATAAGTTAGAACCAAGTTAGCTGCCGTGTTATGTAGAAAAAATAAATAAAAAACAGATGCCTCTACTCTCTTTTTCTATTTCTTTCACTGATCAACTTATCTGGAAACGTTCATTGTCTTTCTCGATCTTACTATTGATAACTGTTTAGATATCAGTGGACTCTGATAGGCTGATTGATTGATAAAAGTATGACAAATTATTATTATTATTAATGTTTATATGCAAGTTTTGTAAAAACTGAAATTGTATAGAATGGCGGCCATCGCGCCGCAGGTGAGGAAAGCGGCGCAGCATCGGGCGGTAGCGGGGAGTCGGTGTTTACGCCGGGCACCGAACGACGACTCGAACGCTTGCCCGCCATGCTCGGTGCTCCCACTCATGACGTCTACCTCGGCGGCACCTTTCCGGTAATTTGTAAACCATAATTATGCTGTATCGAAAATTAAACATTTTGTTAATTATGGAAACACTCGTTAAAACTAAAAGTTTTGCTGTGTTTTTTTTTACGAAACGAAGTGAGCGAACAGGCAGACGGGTTACCTGATGGTAAGTGATTATCACCGCCCATGGATACCTGTAACTCAACAGTCAGAAGTACGTTGCCGCCCTTTGAGTTCCTCCCCCAGAATCACGAGGTACATAAACGTGTATTCCGCAGAGCCACAAGACGCGGCCGGAGGAGTACCTGCGGCGCGAGGGGCTGACGGTGGTGGTGGCGCGCGCCAACGACTACACGCGCATGTTCTCGACGGCGGCGCGGCGCGCGGCGCCGGCGCACCCCGAGTCGCCGCGCCGCGACAAGAAGCCGCGCGCCGCGCTCGCGCCCGCCGCGGACCTGCCCGACGGGGTCGAGCTGCGCGAGCGGGCGCCCGAGGACCACGCCGACAGGAGCGACCGCCTCAGCGCCTCCGACTTCTACACCGTCTCCGAGGATGTCACGCCGCAGCCTTTCAAAGGTTCTTCCCCTCTACATATAATAATACCAACGATTCACCCTCAACACTAACTTATAGGTACTAGATATTAGGCACAGATAACGTGCCATACTAAATTTTGATAGATATTAAAATTTAAATTATTAATTTGATAAATAATCGGATTATTACAAAAATAATACTTTTTAGAGATGTATTCAATATTTCTAAGAACTGTTGGTGTTTATTTTACACATCTGTAGTATTTATTTACACTTCAAAACTGTGCTGTATGTAGAGTACGTTATTTTTCCCTTGTTTGTTTTCGTCCTATCAATATAGATAGCGATCGATAATATACTAATCGCGCTATCGACCTACCGCTGTCATGTTCATAATCACAGCATGTGACTTTCTACAGAAGCTAATCGGTTAATTTTACACCACGTCCACGATAGCGCGTTCTCACAATTATAATGCACCTAACAAGTTTTCGTTCATTCTTTTGTCTAACTAGAAACAATTGGGTGCCCAATGGAAAAAAAAATGCTGTCACCATTTTACAATAAGAAATGCTGCAAATCACAAGTTTATTAAAAATACAACATCAAAAGTGTTGATTGAGCTAACCTAGACCCATTAGCCCAGTTATGAGCAACTTTAAACTATTAAATAACCCTATTTTAAATCTCTTTTGAATTCGGATTTTTCTCATTCGTTTTTTGATACAAAATGTTCAAAGAAAGTAAACTAAGGAGTAAAAAGATTTTTTTAAATTTACGGAATGCCTCTGTTCATATTTTTACATAATATGTATTGCCTCGCTTTATGATGATTAATAAATGATATTTTTCTATCTAATAACAGGAACGTACGATGAGGATCTGTTATTAGGGTCGCGCGTATTAGTGTTCGCAATGAGTGCGGAGTCTCCATGCTTTGCAGCGATGGTGTTAGCCGCGCATTATATGGGGTTGCGGCCGTCGGCCACGGTATTGTTAGTACAACCCATGGATCCGAAAAAGGCTCATAATGTAAGTTGGCTTCACAAACTACGACAACAAAAAAATATTAGTATTATATTTGTATATAAATTTATGTATGTAGTGTTGTGTAGTATATATTTTAGTTGATTAGTAATGCAACCCACGTGCGCCTACCACTCACGTTTCTAAACCACCTAAAGGTTGACTGAAAGAGAATGCCGTGGGCTTTAAGTCCGCCGATGTACAAGAGTGCATAAAGTTATGTAAATAAATAAAATAAATTAATTAGTAGCATTTTCGAATCAAAACCTTGCTATAAGACCTTTTTACATTATTTCACACATGTTTACATATCAGATCTTTGCCACACTGTAAACGTTGAAGTCACAGGAAAGAGCACAATCATTGGAGCGAAGCAGTCAACCCAATTATTCATACCTATGTAATTAGAGATTATAAGGATGTAAAAAATATAAATGGCCGTCTTCTCTAAGTACATTAACCTATATTTAACTAATATGTATATACAGGCATTTAGGAAGGCTATATACATATAGATAATACAATGGCGGACGGGCCTGTTGGTCTAGTGGTTAGTGACCCTGACTGCTAAGCCGGAGATCGTGGGGTCGATTCCCACCTCAGATAAAGTATTGTATAATGAGCACGGTCATTTGTTTCTGTGTCTGCGTGTAATTAATCTATAATATGCATGTATTTAAAAGTATTTAAGTATTTAGCAGCAGTCTGGTTACCAAAACACAGGCTCTCATAAATTAGGCAGTTTTGGGATCAGATTGCCGTGAAGTGTAAAAAAATTAGCTCAATTTTGTTCGTTTAAATGAATAATATTTATGAATATATTATGATTGTTATCTATCAATATACAACTTATCAAGTGCAATCTGTGTTCACCTAGATCCATAAAATATAATTACGTTGTTTTACAGTACAGTGAGGTTGCCGTCAAGGATTACAACCGAGGTCGTCACTATCTGTCAGATTTAGCGCGACGCTCCGGAGTGCCCGTGTTCGACAACGTGGACGCGGTCCTGGCGTGCGTCGTCAGCCGCCTTCGGGCGACGCTATAGCATTCATCATTTATGCGACATTTTAACTAACTGAAACGTTAATTTACGAAAAGAAGACAAAATTATAAGTACGCATTGATAATATATAAGAATATAATCCGGACTCTCAGTTATTATATAGTCCGTATTCCACAGTTAGCCGCTTCCAATTTATAGTTAATATAACAGAAAACTTAAGCGAATCTCATGAGAAACGTAGTCGTATTTGTTGTATTCGCGATTTTATTGTTGTATACGTAATATTATAAAATCTTATTGAAGCGGCAAAGATCACAACACACGTAATAAAGACATCACAAATGTAATTTCATCATAATCAATCACATTGTAATTATTGCATGGCGTTGCGAAGAGTCTCATAAGAGTGTACTTATGTTTAGTTTAGTACAAAGAATGTCTCTCTTTACTTCATCACTCTCTATTGCATTATGTCTAATGTAATATATAGATATTAAAATAAATGTAATTCAAGGATGTATGAGCGAGAATGGATGGTGACGGTAATAAGGTGTCATAATGAGGAATATAACAAAATCTCTGTGATGAATTTGTGTAGGAAATTGTTTATAGTAAGTAAACTTTCAATGCATACGCATATAATTAGATGATAACTATACATTTAGTATCGTTACAAACGCTGGTACAGATGGTGACGTTAGCGTGGTTGCTCGGACTTCGTCAGATGCCAACGTCTCGGTACAATAGGGATAGTCGCGGGAAGTGCGTACAGTGGGTCTATTAGCCAATTCTAAAAAGAGTTTAGCTCTTTATTATACTAAATTGGCAAGTGCTTCTGTAGACGTTATCGCTTTATGAAACAAGGGAAAAGTACAAATAATTTTGCTCATGTAGCAATTTTAAGGATTTTAGTAGTTATTATTTAAATTATGTCAATGCAAAAGTTACATTTTAAAATAATTAATATCTTATACTCAATTTTAAATATAATAAACTGTACCTTTCTAAAATATCTAATATGCATCACTGTTAACGCTTGCTAGTGGAATATGACAAATTAGTTACGAAGACACAGTTCATACCTAATGTAGGTATCATGTTAATATTGAGTAGATATTGGCGAACCCGCTGACCCACTGTCACTATAACTAATTGGTAACTATTCAGCAAATGTTATTTGCTAGTCACACGCCCATTAACATTTTAAGTACTTTGTTAATATTGATTGATAGTACAAATATCTAATTTATAGAAAAATATGTCATATATTAATTATAATTTTATGCCATGTACGCTTATTTTAAACTAAACATCACATATGTAAATATAGAAATTTGTAATTATTTTGAAGTTTCTTTATTTAAAACTCATACGTTTGTTACATTAGATCATTGCTCTGCTCGTTATAGAGCTATATTATAACTTCTGGTACGTTTGGAAACCCGTTCTTATAAGTTTGAATATTAATTTTAGTGTCGTTTAATGTCAAGGCATTTCCGGCGAGCCTTCGAAATCCTTGTTATATGTTTATTTGTATGTATGTGTTAAAAGATGCCAAGCATAATATAAGTGTGTTTGATTTTCATAAGGTAAGGTAGAGGTGCACTTGTGTATCTACTTGGCACTATCGTCTGTCCCAATGGTAAATAAAGGTCCAAAGTCCAACTACTCCTAAGAAAAAGAAAGAAAAGAAAATTAACTTTGTTTAAGGTATTTTCACTAACTTTTTTATGGCATAGAAGGCAAACGAGCAGACAGATCACCTGATCGCAAGTGACTGCCATTGCCCATAAACATAAACATGTGTGCGTTGCCCCAGCGGAAAACGTTCGAATTTCATTGAGTTTTAACAGATATTTACTGCACTAATTACTAGAACCTAATAACCCTATCTATAAATCTAAAGGCTGGTCCTCAGAACGGCATCATACACGAGGTTCCACAGAAAGGGTCCTAAGACCGACTCCTGGGGAACCCTGCTTCCCATCGTTTTACACAGATCTAAAATTCAGTAACTGAAATTTGTATTTCTATTTTTAAATTGACTATTGGATCATATCAGGATATCTGTCTATAAACTATGTGTGAACTCACTTGAAACTAAACAGGATCAGTATTTACAAAAGAGAACATGAAAGGTCAATACCCTACTGATATAAAGGAATTGAAGTACTTCCTATGATTCATCACTATTTCCTGCATAAAACTGATAACACGCATATTATAGAAAATATATGATGCATTGACAATGATAAGTCTAACAATCAATTACTTACATTATCGGTAGGTCTATGAAAATATTAAGTAATTCTGTGAAGTTACCTGGCAGATTGTGATGACGGATGTGACTTTCTTATTCATAAAAATTAGTTTCAATGTTTATAAGAGAATCCACATTGCTTTAGAATACGTGCAGATTCTTATTCATAATAATCATTTTGGCGTGTGTGTGTAATAAGGTAATTTTCACGGATGCGAGACTTATTTTTGTCGAGATTATGTTTCAATGGTACATATAAGTCCACGCATAGAAATACTTTCATGCATGTAAACTCAAAGTGAACGATAAGTGAATACGTATTAATTACATTCTTTCACTGAGCAACAATACTTCAGATACATAGTTCCCGAAACACCATGCATCAGATGTTTACAAAAATGATGTTTCAAAAACTTTGCTGTCCACATCAGTGGTTGTTTAGGTCATTTCACCCCAGGAAGTAGTAAGTAAATCCGAGTTGTATGGCTTGCTACCCGTCCCAAGCGGGGAGCGCGTAAACACAATGTGAAACATAAGTTTACCGCAACGATGTTTCAGAAACATATTATTTTCCGTTTCAGAAACACGTAGATTTAGTTTCTGAAACAGTGTTTAAGAACATTTGTTGCTCAGTGAAGACATGGGTTTACACAACCACGCTCTTTGGAAATTAAATATAGGAAAATTGTGAGTACATAATTATATTTTATTGGAAATAGGTAAAGGGAACGGTGGTGAAAGAAGGATGGTAAAGGATATTGCTTATACAGACGGATTAAGTAATGCAAGCAATAAGCTCGAGGTCGTTATCGAATATCTGTTCCTAAACTAATCAAAAAGAAGACGCTCAGTAGAATTTAAAAAAAAATTATTATAGATTTAAAAAACTAAAAAAATGGAAAATAAATTTGAAAAAAAAGCGTGGGGTGCTTTTTACTTTTGACAACAGGCACCCAAAGCTTTTTTTCAAATTTATTTTCTATTTTTTAGTTTGGTTTTCTATAGTAAGGAGTCTTTTACAAACATACAAACAAACATACAAGTGAAGCTAATATAAAGCGTGTAAAATCCTTCCCTCTCATATCGTATACCCGATGATGCAATGGGTGTTACTCAATTGCTTGTGATTAGAAACGGACACAGTTAAGGGCAGAAAACAAAAACATCCAGACAAGTGCGATTCGGACTTGCCCACCGGGGGTTATGTACAAATTAGTAGGTACATGTTATAAATAGTTCAGGAATTGAGTCTTGCGGTTTTTTGCCGAGCTTTTTCCTAAACTCAGTGTTCAAAGCCTACAATTATTTATATTATTGTGTTTTACAAGTGACACTGTACCTCAATGATTGATTACGCACTTAAATAAAAGACTAATTTTTATATAAGACTTATATATAAATAAATAGTTTTCAGATTTTTGCCTGTAGTTCATAGTTCTAGGTCAACGGGTCAACGAAATATGCGTTTTTTGCGGCATAAACGGCCGTTTTTTTACGGTAACTTAGAAATTTGATTTTTTCACAGCTTTAGCGGACTGTAGACCGATATGGTTTTAATTTCAGCTTGATACCTCCGACGAGATAAAGGGTCACGACAGACGGACAACAAAATGATCCTATTAGTGTACCGTTTTTTCGTTTTGAAGTACGGAACCCTAAAAATAACCAAATGCTTTAAGACCAAAATGAACAGACGTGATAAGTGACAACCAGACGAAATTCCTGTGTTTACATGGAAATATCAAGAAATCTATTTAGGTACCTTGAAGAAAGTGAACTAACGGCATAGCAGATATGGATTGCAGGTTATCGAAATTCGCGCAGACCGATACAAAAAGCAGTGCTATCAACGTGTTTTACAATAGAAATCTCTATACCTACAGTTGATCTACTTTTTATATATAATAACTGCCGCGTTTTGTTGAAATTGATGAATGATACACATCGCTTATTTGCATTAAAAATCGATATGTATTGGTTTTTGTAAGAAAGAAACAAAAGCACGATCAATATTTTTTAATCAATTTAAAAAACTCAAAAGAGAAGGTTCTCAGTTCGACTGTTTTTTTTATACTGAGGGTCGCACTTATTTTAGTTTTTTTTCAATTATACTTATTTGTAAATGTGTTGTTTAAAGTCGGTTCACCTTAAAAAAAGGATTTATTGGAATACTAAATTTCTTCTCTTTTAATTTTATTTTCTGAGTTTTACCGATATCAATGTACAATAATCAGATTTTTCATAAAAGATCTCCTAAATGGTAATTTACTTTTTTGTACGGCAGATAATCACCAAGAACATAATGACAACTTTCCTAAATGTAGTCAGTCAATATTACAAAACGTTACATTGAAAAAAACGACGGGTTGCACTCCGGGAGTGCCGGCAAAAGTGAAATCTTGAATATTAACGTTGTGCATTTTTGATATTTTGGAATGGTTAGGGAATAATTTTGCACGAAGTGCTTTAATTATCAGTATAAAAGTACTATCATTTATGTGGTAGAATACAATATTTATTTATTGCGCTATCGTACACAAACATGACAATTTATATTACATTAAAAAGTTTATCTCTCAGAAAAATCAACTTCCATCCATAATTTCGACGACTTTTTCACCATCATTATTACCAGAACCATCATCGCCAATCTCCAAAACTGATACGATCGGTTTATGATAGCTGACATCAGCTGTCACCATCCATGGATACGCGTGACACGCTGTAACATAAACACACACGAACATTCGCGCAAGCGCCCTGCGCCGCCTAAACGAAAAAGCAGGCGCAGGCATACATTTTCGTAGAGAGGGGGATACTTCCTCTCCTACGGAACGCCGGCTGTCTACTCTCCATTCGTCTTACGAATTTTCGATCAGGTCACGTGTCCTGACGCGAAATAAACATTTTTTACCCATCACAAAAAAAGTGTACAACACCGCTAAAGAAATTTTCACTTCAAAAGAAATTTGAAAGTTCTTGTACTTGTCAAGACATAGTTTCAGAATTAACTAAATTTAAAAAAAGAAAATACCTTGCCTTTCATAAATTCCCAAGAAGCTGAATTTTTGCATCAACGTTAGGGATACATTTATAATGAAATTGTGGTAAGTCCCCATCGATCCCATGTATGACTGTGATGCTGTATGCAAAGCACGGTAATAATCTTGTTACAGTGAAGAAAAGTAAAAAGCACCGCTTACTTATGTAATGGAAAATTAACTATTTATTAGGCTGTAAAAATAGTTGAGAACCTCTTTGAGTCTTCTTTTTAGATTTTTTAAATTAATGGCCACATAAGAAATTGACTTCAACATGTTTTATTGGGATATAACATTGTAGTTACTTTGTTAATATTTAGTTTTGACGTATTTTTCAATAATTGTTATATGACGCGCTAGGTGCGTCATTGGCCATACGAAATATTTTTACATCCCTGGCGCGGCAGTGGCCACGAATCGGTTAATTATGTTTTTATTAGTAAATGACTTCTTTATGATGCGCGGCAATTGATTTATTTATTTTGTTATGTTGTTGTTGCTTTTAAAAACATTTTAATTAAAACTTTTTATCACTAAAACTTCAATTTTTAACATCACATCAACAGCTTTTAATAGTAACATAATTATAAGATTTTATTGTACCTAAATGCATATTAGACATCGTTAAAAAACAGTCATTTTCTGCTTATCTTTCCTTTGTGCCTGTTCCTTACTTATTTGCTTCTCTTTTTGCGTAAGGCCGGTGAGTTCTTTGTTTTTCTCTATGATTTGCAAATTAATACTTTTGTGGCCGTTGGACCCTGCCGGGTATTTTATTAAAGAACTATTTAGTTTTGTTATTTCGCGTTCTATTCTTTTTTTGTCCTCGCTAATTTTGAATTGTTCTATATTTAGGTCTTTGCTAGTAGACTGCTTCACATTCACAGATGTGTCGGCTTCTGGAACTTCTTCAGCTTTGTTGCCTAAAGTTCTATTGAGGAAATTAAATACATTTCGCCGTTCTCTCTCCTTTTCTCGCTCGTAATTCCTTTTATTTCTTTCTTCTTCCTTTTTTTGTAACCTTTTCAATCTTTGTTCCACCTGAAAAAAATATAAACAATAGTAATAATTTATGTAGATAAAACTTTTTTCTTTCTAACATCTTCGGTTAACAAAGTAGATTAATTCAAAGCCCATTCATTTAAAGTACCTTTATTGTGTATGCATAAATAACAACAACTACAAATAAGAGTAATATTTAAAACCTTTAATGGATCTTGAGCAGCATTTTTCTCAGAAATGGCCATGCAGTGGTCGAGACTCTTTCCTACAGGTAATACCCGGGCTTCAACCGGCTTCACTCGACCGTCGCTCGCAGCACCGAGCCCCGTCCCTGGCACGTAACCCATTGCCAACATCAACCTTGAACCTATACCCTGATGAAAGTGAGCAATGTTTTAGTATGGTTGAATCAGCCTTTATATTGACTACTACTAATAATTACTGACAAATAAGCCTGTAGCTTGTTATCTTTTTATCATGTGGTAATTAGACTTTCTACCAGTCCTGGCCATGGATAGATAGATAGATATATTGAGGTGTAAATGTTACAAGTGACCGAGTCACTGTGACCCTCTTATTTAATGATCATGAACTAACCATCTGCTTATGAAAGGGCAGATCATCAAAATCTTAGAAACTTAGATTTCTTTTTTTTAATTCATAGAGATCACAATGCTAACATAGTTATGTACTATAAAATATATTAAACATATGCGGCAAATAAAATCTTACAGGCTTAGTTGTCTATAGTAATAAATCATACATACTCACTCTGGTATGTCTTTCCCATTCTCCAATAGGAGTGTTATTTGGATTTTGAAGACTTTTCTCAATCAAAAGACTTTGATTATCATGGGCTGTTTCCTCACATTTAGTCTTGGCGCTTGGGTACTCTGTGTCACTCAAGCTGTCATTAGTGTCACTGTCTACATCCTCTGTATCTACAAATAATACAATAGTTATTATATTGTTTAATTATTTCATATGTAATAATCTTACCAGATACTTACTGTCGAGTGGGTAAATGTCCTCAATCTGTACAGTACATTCACCTGACCCTAGTTTCCGCTTCTGTCCAGTAACTCCATGTTCCAATTTAACCAAACAGACTTTCTTTTCTGGATCCAAACTTTTTATTACTGCTCTATGCCATAAGTGATATTTTTCTGTTGATTTTTTAGTTACACTAATGTCCTAAAATCCAGTGAATATTTAATAATGGTACAAGTATTCAGATAACAAATCATCATATGTATTAACATTAACAAGTTTTAAACATGTCAAGTACCTCATCTTGTGGTGGATTCATTTTCATCAGTATTCTACTCCCAACTTTTAAAGCACTAAAATCTGGTTCTATTGCTTCTTTTAAATCTGATAATTGTACAATTGCACCATGGGAATATCTAAAAATGCAATATAAAAAATAAAAGTAACTACAAGTACTTAAAATTTAAATACAGAAAGTTAATTTTTGAACATAATGTGTAACAAATTAAAAAAATCACGTGCTTCATTACGCTACGAGCGAGTGTCCACTTATATAGAGACCTGTCATGGTATAAAAAACTATATAATAACACTTTTAAAATAAAATTGTAATTAAGTATCAATTTACACAATTTCTAGCACAAGTAATGACCGCAGATATAAACTCACCTACATTGTTCATCACTAAATTTGCATTCTCCATCCAGGAAAAAAGGACAGGGTAACATTTCAGCATGTGTTGGATGAGTAAATAAAACACGAACCTGTAATTTTACAAGTAAGATATAATTAATAGAAAACTATGATTTGATTAAAATCTTTATTGAAAGTTAGTTGGGTGTGTATATATATATACATAGGTGTATAGTTGCATCAGTAAAGAATAGAGTAGGTTGAATTGCTTAATTATGCACTATGATTATTACTTGATTTTTTTTTATACATCATTCTGTAACTCTTTTTATAAGTTTAAAAAAAAAACAAGGGCCAAACCCTCAACGACTTTTACATGTTTTCATTGTGAGTACTGTGGTAAAAGTGTTAATATTTAATCTAAAATACATGACGGCCACTTATGGACATAGAATATATATTATGTGTATCCATGTGTAGTAAGTAAAGTATTGTGTAAAATGCTTACACAACACTTTTTATAATTTGTTTTATTGTAGTTCATGTGGAGAAAAGAATTGGGAGGGTGATATTTTTTTGTCATTGTCTCCTAAGATATGCTCTAACACAATGACAAAAAAATACTGCTAGAAAGATTAACAACTTACTTTATCATAACAGTTTGTCTTATACTTTGCACCATCAATCAATTGCATTAATTATTATGAATAATTAGTTGATATCTCAATTCATCAATTGGAATTAAACATGATAAGCTAAAAATAAACTTAGTACATTTTCTTTATAATTAATTACTAACCTGAAGATCATTAAATTCAACATTTTCTTGCATGGGTACAATGGCACTAACCATGGCGTTGTATAGACTCGGTTGTCCACCCCATTTATGTGTGTGATAAACAGAGCACTTCATGCCCAGTAGAGTAGACAAGTCATCCTTAAAATAAACAAAACATTCATTCTTTATTTATTATTTCTTCAAAATGTTGAATATGTTTGTTGTACAAATTGTAAAAAAATTGTAAAAAAAATATTTTCTTTGAAAATCAAAAGCAGATTTGTTAAAAAACATGTACGTTTCCTCAACTATCTAACCCACATGGGATCATGGATGAAAACATAGCACACTATCCCGGTTGTTGAGTGGTGGATGTTTTTGTGTTGGATGGAACCTATCGACAAAAGAATGATCGGCTCTGTTTCAAGGCGACAATCTGATCTGGGTAGATCATGTTTCACTGATGAAGTAAACAATGAGATAGTTCAATGATTCAGATTGGATCCAGCAACTTCAACCAATATTGTTGCCCTAGAACTTAGACTCTCACTGTGGAAAGTGTGCTGTGAATATTGCAGGCTTATGCACCCAAATCACTATACGCCACTGGTACAAGTTATTGAAGCAGGATATACTTTGAAGAGGTTGGATTTCTACAGATTTGTGCTTAATGCAGATTGAGAACACCCATTATTTTATTACTGAGACATTTCATGGACATGAGACCAAATTTAATAAAAAGGGTATAACCAAAAGGCACCAAAAGCACTGATAAATCCTAATATAACGTGGATAAAGGGGCCAAAAAGACACTTCAATTTAAATGTGTAGATGGGTATTGTCAAACCACTGGATTTGGATGTTTTATTCTCCCAGAGAACAGTACGAAAGCTTTTTGGGAATAAAATTTAACTAACTTAATTGTAATTTTTGTTAGTGCATATTGTTACATTTCAAAACTATTACTTAACAGTAGATTGTACACCATATAAAAAAAATATGAAGCTATTACACTACCTCTATATCCCTGTCTTTGTCATCACTGTTTGTATCAGCATCACCTTCATTTTTTTCTTCATATGCACCACTCTTTGCCATCTCTGCCTGCAAGTAATTATGCCACTGTTTCAAAAGACTAATACCTAGGGTTTGTTTTTCAAAAGTTACATAATTAAGCAAATAAATTGTAATAAAAACCTGAGTACTTTTAACTCATTTGTGACAATCTCTTGATTTCAATAGATATATTCAAATTCAATTAATCATGTAGTTACTAATCAAGCTAAATTCAATTAAACTCTAAAAACATTTAGATTTTTAGTAAAAACGAATGCATTGATGTTTTTAAATCTGATTATATTTGATCATTACCTGAAATAAAGCATACTCATCAGCCAATTCATCCTTGCTTTGAGTTTCTGAAGAAGAGGTAGATTCTTTAGGTAATAAAGCTTCGAGGTTTTCTTTTGTCAATTCAATAAGTTGTTGCAAATCGGATTGCAAACTCAATATAGATTCACGTTCATTTTCATCATCAACAGTTTCAAGGGTGCTGTTAACCATACACAGCTGTAAATATAAAAACTAGTAATAATCGTATAAAAACAGAGTTGTGTTGCTTTTGTATCCGTGCTCCGTTCTTGATACCTGTTGTTCGTACTCGTTTAATGATTTTTGTAACTCGTCCATTCTGTTGCTTTAGTAGTTTTACTTCAAACTATCAAGAAAATAACATCAATTAAATATTTCCAGGGTAATACATTCTAAACATGTGTCGATAACATAATTAACGTCTTGAGAAATTGAGAAATATTTCCTACAATGTTGACTCTACTTAAAAACTGACAGTTGACACTTGGCAGTGGTAGGCATTCAAAGATTCAAAGTCAGCGAAAAAAATACATCTTCATACTTTCTTTTCAATTTTTGTTTTAATAACCATAAATACAGGTGAACATGCATTAGAGGAAGCCTGAAAGTAACTCTAGGTGGATGAAAAGTTCAGCAGCAAAAGGTTATCTTGAAGGCCAGTTTCGATCAACTTTCGATCTTACAACTGTTTTAAAAAGGTATTTTTGTAGTAAAGAATTAAACATACAACGTTGACTGTAATGTAAATATCGTATTGTAACCGAAAATTTAATCGGTAATCTGCTAGTCATAATAATACTATTTTACTACGAAAATACCTTTTTGGCAGTTGTGAGATCGAAAGTTGATCGGAACTAAATTGCGACCGAACATTTGTTACGAGAATTGGGCTTCTGGTATGAACATATATGATATGTAGAGATGACTAAAAAATAGTGAAGAAAGTTGTATGTATATAATCTAAAAGATATAAATATAAAGGACGACCAAAGAGAAAATGGATTGTGCGCAAGACGATTTTGGCTAGAAATGGCGTAAGTGGTAAACTGACGAGTGATAGATGAGAATGGAAGACGTGAACTCATTGCGCAGTTAATAAATAAATTAAATTAAATAATTTTGGGAAAGGGCAAAAAGATAATGATGATGAGTTAAAAATGAAGTCCCAGATGTCGAAAGATAGGTCTTAACTCATATTCCTCTTTGATCAGTATTGCCCGGTATACAGTGAGATGAGATGTAATTAAAAACGTAGTTGTAAAAGCCTATGTGGGCTTTTACAACTACGTTTTTAAACCTACCTACGTAAAAATAAAAAAGGGGCGAAAAGAAATAAAACTTTTAAATAATTATATTTTGTAGTGTTGTAGGAAATAAAATTAATGATTTCAATCAAACCAATTAAATATATTGATGAAAACAAATTTTGACTAGATACATTACAAAACAATCAAAACTTAAACTTGAGGGAACCATAATCTGTCACTAAAAAGTTTACTCGTTCCATATTATTTCTTACAAGTGCCATGTAAGAAATAATATGGAACGAGTAAACTTTTAACAGTCAGAGGCATTGACGACAAAAGAAAGGTAGCTGGAGTAGATTGAATTTGTAAGACGGAGGGCAAATAGTAGGAGAGCTGTTGAACAATTTTGGGTAGGTTCGTAAGGCGCGACGAAAATTTTTGTAATTGTCCTTGAAAGACCCCTAAATAAGATAACCGAGGTTTGGCTGAAGGTAGCGGCACCCTACCAACCAAAATTCGATCGTTGATTATTCCCTACCTAGACTCGCTAATTATGTCTTTGGAAGAGCGTTTCAGAACAACTTACCAGCTTATTCTTTGATCTCATTGCACCCATATAACATGTTGCAAATGACATTCGAAGAATTTAAAAAAAAAACAGAGTGCCCGCGCCGTTGCGGGCAGGCGCTAGGAGGGGCACGGATGCCTTAAGAACAGCAGTTCCCGGATCCCTCCTCTTACAGGCGCAGAGCGGCAAACCGTGTGGTTTTAGTCGGTCCGATTCCGACACACCACCCCGTCGGGATGACGGCCCGACGGGACTTCCACACGTAAAAAAAAGGGTTAGTGTCAAGGTTTCTTTCTCTCTGCAGTGCTGTTGTCCTGCGTAGTTTGCTCCCTTAGTCGCCTTTTACGACACCCACGGGATGAATAGGGGTGGTGACACTCTGTATTCTTAATCCGTCACCACACGGTCAGTTAGAGTAGGTGACGGGTGATAATACTGCTCAACTGATGGATGATGATGATGATGGTCATATTTTTTGCTATTGATAATTGTTGCCACTTTAGGTAATTGCAAAAAATATGACAAAAATATAAAATATAAGCAAGGTACGTAAATCTCTAACAAATATTAATGCCCTTTTCTAGTGCAACAGGCTGTTTTTTACCCTACCTTTCACCTTAAGTTAGGGTAGGTGGGAGTTATTCTTTGGAATATGAATATTTGTATGAGAACCATTAAGTAGTATGAAGAATTTCTATGAGATTCATCAATGAAAGTACATATTTTTATGATTTTAGTTGACAAATAATATAATATGTATACATGCATGCTTGCCTTGCCTTAGATTAGGTTATAATAATATTTCAGCAATTTAAATATTTTCGGAATTTCGAATTATTCCAAATCATAAAAATCGGCGTTCAGAAATTCGTGGTAATGACTAACGGAATTAAGTTTTTCGTGTTTATGTAGTGTACCCAAGAATATAGCTACATTGATTTGAAAATATATTTTCACACTTCGATTTAAAATAGTAGTTACTTTTTACGGTCAGAAAGGGTTGGTGCGCGGGGCCCGTAGCATTTTTTAATCTTGCTATGTGGTTAATCCGCAACAACCTGATTGATTTCCCAGTTCGGCCAAAAATCATATGGTTTTTGACAGAAAAAACGGATATCTTATAATATTTACATCTATCGATAAACGAAATCGTTTTCAATGGAAAAGTAGAACTCCCCCTGTGCGACAATTTTGATTTAAACATTTTTTATTTTCTAGGAAAATAAAAAAAAATGTTTAAAAATAACACTTTATTGCTTATAGGATATGTAATTGTATTAACAAACATGATTCTTTGCAACAAAAAAAAACTCAAAATTCTATGCTTAAAAAGAACGGTTTATTTTTTGTTGTTTTAAGTTTTTTTTTTAATTCCTTTATCAGGAAGAATTAGGATCCTATTTTTGCTATGGTAACAGTTTATCAAAATATGCATCAACAAAATAAAAACAATTCCAAATTCCGTACCATTTAGGAACAACAACCTTCTAACAACAGTGCCTGTCGGTGAGCGTTACGCAGCATTTCGAGCTCGTTCTGGTCTTCTCCGCTCTCACATCGGCGGATCGCGCGAGTCTGGCTATAGACCCTCGCGTTCATATCAGCCAGGATATCAAAAGGCGGAAAACGTGCCAGGACTGTCGCCGCATCCAGGGGATATTTAGCCCCTACGATTGGTCTGGCAGCTTAGAAAATATATTAAAATAGCCCCCTTTTTTCTGTGCGGAAATCCCCTCGGATACCAGCCACCGATGGGGTGGTTATGTCGAACTCGAACCGACCAAAAATCGCACGCCGGCTTAGGTACCAATTGCCAGGGGAACCAGATGTACCCTAGAAAGGAAATCCCTGGTACACCGACGTACTTCAGGCCATCTTCCGTAATAAAAAGTCTGACTGTAAGTAAGGTTGTTTTTCACTTTTTGTGATGGAAGAGGGGACAAACGAGCAGACTAGCAATAATTACTGCCTACAGGTGTCTGGGAGTATTAATTTCAAATTGTTTACAATATTCCCTACAACATACATAAGAATCAGTCCTCAGACTGTAAGTAAAGGGAGTACCTGGTACCTGAGAATTGGCCGTCGGTCCAAGCTAGCGGGTATGTATACGTTCACTGTACACACTAATACTACTCTATTATAACTACATGTTTTGTGCACAAGTAAATAAGTAAAATCTGGCGGCCGTGGGATATTGCTGTATTAAAACTGATTCTAAAATGCAATTTAGACTCTGTGTGGGGTTGAGTTCCTACTGCAAATAATACATCTTCGCAAAAAATGTCGCTCTAAAAAGGATATTATTTTTCTTTAGTGTATATTATTTTATATAAATATATATATATACCAGAATAATATTTTTCCCTAATACTATGCAAAGTAGTATCTTCATTAATGATGTAATGAAATAACTGAAACATATAGTATCAACTATAATAACAATATTTATTATGTCCTATTTTCTACATGTAAGATTACAACGAATATACTGAAGGATTATAACAAGATAATGTAGCGATTCGAAAATAATAATGTTATTGTGATTGAGCTTGTTTCTAATAAGGAGTGTTCGTTCAACACATAGTGCACATCTAACCATTGCTAATTTGATACTGACAGAATTAGTTAGCAATGATTAGTGCAATTGCTATATTTAAGGAGAAAAGTTTAAACGATGATACTATTTTAAACTTTTGTTTAGAAAAAAAATGAAATCAGATAATAAAAAATATCATCCTCCACATCATCCGAGCCTTTTCGCAAACTAGGTTGAGGTCTGGTTTCAGTCTTCAAAGAACTTTGAACTTTGATTTTTTTCATGGAGCGATTGCCATCAGACCTCTACAATCTGTAACAGTTGCCACCAATGTTCAATAGCAACCGACCGACCGACGGTTCAACATGCTCTCTGAGGGACAGAGGGGTCTCAATGTGCTAGGACTGCTTAACTTTGCAATGTGCTAACCTACTCATTTACCACTTAGCCACGAGTCCCATTTAATAAAATATATAGTACTAAAAATTAAAAAAAAAGTTTTAGCTATTTTTCAGTTCACTTAATGCATTAATAGTAATTTTCTTTATCACAGTTCCTACAATTCTTTTAATAGTTTCACCAGTGTAAGTATTACTGTTCTCGAAGTTCATTGATATGGTCTGGAATGTATTATTCATAATGTTTTTTACTTTATCTTCTGTGTTATCATCATTGGGGTCAGTTTTTGTAGATTCACTACTTGTTATATCACTCAATTGTTTATTTTTCTCTTCTAATCTGTTTTCTAAGATGTTAATTTTTATCATAAGTTCATTTTCTCTGCTGGTTTGAATTTGCTTTTCATGTATATTTTGTTCTTCTAAAACTCTTATCTGTTTTTGAAGCTTACTAATTTCATTAGTTTGGACAGTATTTACATTTTCCACTTCAGACATTTTATTTTTAATTCTTTCAACATCTTTATCTTTCACTTTTAATTGCTCCTCTATATTATTTTTCTCATCTATGCCTCTTGACCTTAGCAATTCTTCATATGCTTTAATTTTATTTTCATATTCTTTGAGCAACTTTAGAAGTATATCTGTAGGTACATTGGCATCTTTAAGTTCTAAACTATTTATTTTGTTTAAGACAGAATCCACCTTGTCAGTAATCCTATTCAAATTGATTCTCATCTCACTATTACCAATTCTCTGTTCTGCCATAAACATACTTAATTCATTATTAGTGTTGGCTATCACACTGGTGTTAGATAAGGGTATAAATTGACCATGATGACTATACACAGTGACATTTTTATCAGGTTGTGTATTGGGCACAATAATTCTCTGGTGAGCTTCAGTTAATTGTTGGGATTCAGACACAATATTTTCAACATTATTCCTTTTTATTAAAGATTTTGAAGTTTTATGTCTGAAAACTTTTGGTTGTGTTTCAGGTTCATTGGTATCTGAGGAATCGCTAGTCTTTTCTAATGGTAGAATTTTTGTTGGTAATACTGAGTGGCCCATGTTAGCCATACGGTTTAGAATAGAAATCTTTGTTTTTTTATTTACAGAAGAATCTGTATCACTACCTCTGTTTTGCTCTTTTTCTTCTAAAGAAGCAATTGTTCCACTTTCTGAATTATTAGGTTGTTGGGGTACATTGTCTGTATTATTGGAATAAACAACATTAGCTCCCAAGCTATTAAGAATGTCGTCAATTTTTTTTACTTCTTCATCTGTGCCATAAATACTCCAATACTTTCTAAGGGCATCATAATATGAAATGTAAGAATTATTCTTGATAGTTACTTCAAGTTGTGGTGAAATTAGTGTTCTTGATAGTGTAGTTTTAACAGAATCATATAGTACAATGTTATGGTCACCAGTTTTCTGAATCTTTATTATGGCAAATCCTAACTTCCCTCTAGATGTATAGACATTGTTGCACCTGGAAATAAGAAGGCAGTGATGATTGTTTAATAAGTAAGAAAACAGTGTTAAGGTAAAGCTTAGGCCCAGATTTTCATGGAGGTCCGTCGAGTTGGGGTTGATATTATTTTTACAGAAAGGTTATAGGTACCAGCACTGATCTTGATGAAGTAGGACGGGGGGGGGGGGGGGCAGTTAAATCATAACGTCAGCCAGCGATTGGCTCACCGATATTGTCGCTGCTCCTGATTCGTTTTCTCTTACTTAAGTACGACAAGTACAAATTCCGAGCAAATTAATAGGGTCTTTCTTTTTTCAATAAAAATTTAATAATTTCTACTTTCGCTATTCATTAATTTAATTTTCTGGTAGTTTAAAATTGAGATTTATTGCGAGTTTATCAGATAGCGTAATATATTCTCTAATATGTACCTATAACACAATACGATGATGAAGAAATGGACACCGTACCTGTACAAGCTTTAAATAAGAAAGTGATTTGATGGAAGCTGTCGCTCCATTTTATAAGGAAAATAAACAAAATTGTTTTTTTTTTAAACAGAATTAATACTTACGTTTTTTTACTAAAATGTTCATTAAAACCATTTTCTCTTACCATAGAATCAATAAGAAGTTACGTAGTAACTTTACTACGTAACGACTTATGGTTTTGACCTATTTTAATCATATTCTAACTAAGAGAAAATAAATAATAATAAATGGGTGTGCATTTTATTTTGCCCTAATGCACGATGCGCAAAGCGATCCCCACTCTGCCGGAGACATGTAGTTTTTGAGAAAAAAATATTGAGAATCAATTATTTTTGCAATATTCCCAACCCCCAATAACCCAACTCCCACCCTTCAATTCGACGGACGTCAATAGAAAGTTGTATCAAAGCTTATGTTTATCATCAGACTTGTTTTACCTTAGCTTGATTACCACTATTGTCCATCTGATCTAAGAGGTACCGTTTGACAGTCCTGACAGCTTGAATAATAAGGAAGGAAATCGATTGGTACAATATCTGGTTCTTAAGAGATATCAATATAATTTCTTTGTATTTACAAATCGATTACAGTTTTACGATTTCTATATGTTACTGTTTAAGCCCTTATATTATCATATCTTAGGTTTTACTAGTAAATCTATATGAGTAATGTAGGCAAATGATGATCTATAAAATCAAATGAACATCTATTAAAATAATTACACACAAGTAAAGACAAATAAATAACACAAGGTCTAGTTTCCGGAACATAATATGTATTGATATCTTTTTCTTGAGGATATCAAAATTGATAACTAACGGTTTTTAATTATTGTAGAGCGTAGTACACGTAGAACGCGTAGCGTAGAGTAGTTATAATTGGTAAAATGCTTTTGGACAGTATGAACTTAAAACACGAACTACTTAAAACATATTTTAAAAAGGCTTTTCTAAATTATTATGTTTTACAAATTCCTTGTGAACTGAGCCAAATATAGCATTATTATTAAAAATTGTAACACGAACGAATTATTTTATTACACGTTATTCATCTGGGCCTCAATTCTGCTATTTTATGTTAACTCCAAGCCACTGTCATTCCATTGATACACTAATGACATTGGTCAAAATATCAGTATTCTAATATCATAAATTCACAGTGTCAATAGACTGTCGAAATAGTAATATAGGTCATCAATGGTGCTATCAACAACATTGCTATACCTGGCAAATTAAATATATAATTTTCTTACAAATTTAAAATGTACCGTTTAACAAACTGTTATAAAGACATCGACGACATTTGTATCAGTGACAAGTCATCTCAGGCCATTGGTCTTACATAGTTAGTAGAACAGGAAAAGTGCAAAACTATTGCGACGACATTCCATTGACAGTCTACTGATACAATATTAAAATATCAGAATTGAGGCCCACGTAGTCAGCAGTGGCGTGGTCACCAAAAAAATTGTAAACAAAATCCTAGTGTGGTCCAGTGTTGTTGTTGACAATACACAGTGTGGTTAATTAATTTGATTTTCTCTTAATTTCACTTTAAAATTATTTATCTATTTGTACATATTTATATTTTTATCATTAGTTTACATATTTATATTTATCTGAACATTCAAATGTATTTTCTGTTTTAAATATTTTTTTAACAGTTTCGCCTCACTTCTCAAGTGTTCCTAGAACTGAACCTGGGTGCAGGTTCCGTTCTAGTAACAGGTTACACCAACTTAAATAAAAGTAAAAAACCTTTAAGTTGTTATTTTATAAATATATGAAATTGAAAATGAAAATAAAACAGGCGATTGGTAAGGTGATTTTTCAATCCTAGAAAATAGTTTAGATGATGGCGAAACAGAGAACCATTTTCTATATGTATTTTTATTGTTAGAACGTTTGTTTGTGTAAATTCAGTTTGAAGATAACCTCATGGGCACAGACTGTAAATCCTAAAATATTTTAAAAAAGTTCCTTATATTTCATGATTATTCGTATACAAGTGAATTCGAAGAGTCACACTATGTGTGTCACAGTCCTAACTATGTGACTTTAAAACGAAGTCCAAAATAAATTATTTTTATAGTATATATTGTTTTTTTCGCTTTGTTTGAAAGATTAAAATTAAAATTTAGTTAATAAAAATTGTACATCTTGTGATAAAATAGAAATACTAAATTAATTCCATGGTTCCATTTTTTTAAACAAACCCTATACCAACCCGTCTGGCCAGCGTGGTATAGTAGGCCAAAACCTCCTTTCTAAGGAGAGGCCTATGTCCAGCAGTGGACTAGTATAGGCTGTTGATGATGAATTCCATGGTTTTAAGTTTTTTTTTATAATTATGTGTTACATCAACACAAAGATGTTTCAGCTTCAAAAGTATGAAACGTCAAATGGTACCTCTTAGAATAGATAGAGTATAGACTCAACATTAGCACTACTAGTTAGTCAGTGTAATATTTAAATAATATTGTAATCACAACTTACCATTCATGCACAATAAGGGCACATGCAAAGATACATTCAGAAGCTTTAGAAGGTTCTCTTTTCTTTGGTACAATATGTTGAGGTTTTGGTGGAATATATTTCAAAGAATCATTTTCGTTGCTATCTGTTTGTTTTGACATATTTCCAAATATACTTGCCAGGGATGTACTAGAAGAGAAAATAATAAATAAAATATCACTTATTGTTTATGCAGATTAGTTCAAGCCTTTGTAAACATATACCCGATAAAAATACAATCATTAAAATGTAAAAGATCTGACTCACCTTGCCACTGGCGTAAAGAAGTCATCGTCTACTTCCTCAGCTTCTAACATTTTTATGCAGCACTATAACAATAAAATCTTAACGTAGCTTAACTTATATCAATGTTAAAACACGTCCTATAATATGCGTTGTGAGTGTGAGTGATATAACTACGAAAATGGTAATATAATGAACCTAAGTATACGTTAAAATATTCAGTTTTTTAATAAATAATTAAATATAATAAATAAAATTCATATAGTATGAGTATATGATAACTTTTGACTTCTGTTAACTTAGTGTCAATTGTCAATATGTAAGTCAACGAAATGTCAATTAGAGTGGAAATAAAATAAAAAATAATTCGTTGAGTTAAATAACTAGAGAAGCAAACCTCAATAACCTCGTTGCCGTTGCCTCGGATTAGAAAAAAATATAAACATAACGATGGCGGGCCAGTGTTGACTACCGTATGAAATTTTACCCATAATAACCGAGTCAAAAAGGGATTTTCAACCAATTTTATAAACAAATAATTAAATTTAAATATTTTTAAATTACGTATTTCTAATTGAAAGGTATAAATAATAAAGTAGCTGTTTTTTTTATTACAATGGTGTACATTACCTGCGTAATCAAACTCCGCTGTTAAGCATTAGTTTTGTATACAATTGTCTTTTAGACTCTTTTTTGGAAGTTTGTGTAAATAATTTACTTTCATAATACAATCTTATTTTTACGTATGCATAAATAACGCATTAATTAATTAAAGTGAATGATCAACTTGTATAATTTAACAATTGGAAATTAAGATTAAATGCTAGCTTAGAAAAAGAGCAGCTATCATCAGTATTAACTGATATCCTAGATATCATAAAATATGCTAAAACGGCTAAAGAAATGATCAAATCTCTTCAAAATATCGACTGCCGCAACGAACAGTATCGATTCTGAAAAAAATCAATTATTTTTTTTATTGTACCAATCGATAGTGCATAGAATATAGTTTTAGAAACACTAAAACAATTTTGAAAAGAATTGTATTTGAACAAGTTTTGAGTCGAATAAAATCGATACTTCTCACTTCCAGCTACGAACATCATTGAATGTTACAAGTTCGATAGTGTTCGTATGTGTCGATACTCGCGCACACTCCGTAACTGCCTGAGTCGTTAAGGCCTATCCGCACTCGCACGCGAATCACGGCTCGAATCGCGACGCGAAGCGCGGCGCGAATTGGAGCAAGAACTCAACAGTCCACACTCGCAGAGGTTCGCGCCGGGCTCACAGCATAGTTCGCGCTCCTTGACGCGTATGCACGCCAAGCATTTAATATTTAATCTTCCATTTCTTCTCAATCAATCAACATAGTTTACATGAAACACCCATAAAACACGTATTGGTTTATCTTGGGCGTATTGGATTATCTTGGGCTGCGGGGCTACTTTGCGCTTTGGCAATTTTTAGTTACGCCTAAATAAAAAACTAACAATTCCAAAGAAGCAATGAAAACGGAGATGGTGGATTACCACCATTCACCGAAACAGAACCAGGTAAGTACCAACTTATTATGCTTTCTCGTAGAGTTTAGAATATAGTAAGTACGTAGTACAAGATGGGTGAAATAAATATAATTATATTCACTTTTAACCATATAAAATTACAGTTTTAATAACAGTTAAAATGTAATATGCCGCTGTCACATATCTTATGGTGTGGGAACTGATACTTGATAACTTTGTATTTTGTTACAGTGCAACTATGGAGAAGCAGTTAAATGAACTAGTTGCAGAACCTTCAGATGAATTCAAAAAGTTTTTGCGGATGTCATTAAATGATTTTGAATATTTGCTTAGTCAAATTTCAACACGAATTTCAAAACAAGACACCTAATTACGAAAAGCTATTCCTGCCTAGATACGTCTTGCTATAACACGGAGATACTTAGCAACAAGAGACGACTATGAATTCATTCATTTTTTGTTCAAAGTTTCACCACAAATAATATCAAAAATTATACCAGAAGTTTGCCATGCTCTATGTGAAGTGTTAGAGGATGAAATAAAAGTGAGGAAAGGACACAAATTTAATATGCTTATTTAGAACTAAACTTAAAATCTAGAATATAATTTTGTAAAATCAACCAAATATAATAACAAAATTCAATAGGCAATAAAAACAAAATTCGGTAATTTCAGTAGGTATTTAACTTGAGTCAAAAGTTGTCCGAACTATATCATTCTTATGATCAGATGTGTTTGCATCTTGGTTCCCTGGTATATGAAGGACAGGATTGGATTGACTAATGATATTAGAAGGTGGGGCTGATAATACTTGTCTATTTTGGTAATAAGTGCTTTGATTCGCCTGCCCATAATGAAATGGACATGTCCAATACTACAATGGCGATCAAATGTTACAAGGTTTTGCTGATGCAGATTGGGGTGGAGATGTCAAATCTCGCAAGACTACGAGTGGTTTTGTCGCAGTCTATGGTGGCAGTATCCTGGTTTTCTAAGAAGCTTTGTTGCACTATCCTCAATGGAAGCTGCGTATTATGCAGCAGCACAAGAGTTGGTTAATGTGAAAGGCATAGTGTCAGAATTTGTGCAGTGCAAAGGTAATGAGTCACCAGTGAAGCTAATGGTCGATAATCAAAGTGCAGTGTTCCTAGTGAAAATCATTTTATCAAAGATCTATGTGAGAAAGGTATCAATAATGTTAAGGCTTAAATAATGTAAAATTGTTTACTTTTTAATAGAAGCCCTAAAAATTTATAGGCTTCAGGGGATTAAAAGTTTAGTGTTAAACCAAATTTCTTTAGCTTGTTAGATTTTTTTTCAAGTAATTTTCTTTTTGATGTTGTTATAAACTCTATAAATTGTACTGTTTCAGCATTTAGATTCAGTTGCATTTCTTGTTCTTCGGTCAACATCCTTTTTTTTCATTTCCTGTAAAATATCTCTTAATTTTTTGTTTTTTATTTTCAATCTTTTATTTTTCTGTGATATATTTTTTATTTTTCTTAATCTTTGTGCGGAAACAATTTTTAACCGGTGAATTATTTTTCTCATTTTGTGCTCTCGTTGGGTTTCAATTATTTCATTGATCTCTTCATCGGTATCTACAATATCTACGTCCGTATTATGTTCTTCAACTAAAAGCTCTACCGGCTCTTCAGGATGAGAGTCGTCCTAAAAAATAATAATTTTGTAATAAAAAGAAAACACTAGAAAAACTAAATACTTAGTTTCAAAAACTATTGAAGTACACAATTTATTTAGTGTTGTATTAAACCATTTTGTTACAATGCAAATTTTATGAGAAACTATTTTTAGGGTTGCGTACTCAAAGGGTGCCAACGGTACCCATAAAAATCGGCCAAAAGCGAGTCGTACACGCTCATGGTATAGACACAGTACGGAATATTTTTTCCGATTGTGGGTACAATTTTAGACATACAATAGTAAACCCATTAAATTAGATATTAAATATAATGATAATGTAGTTGAAGAAGTGGATGCAACGTCATTTTGGGCATTAAATGAGATAAACACTGATAATTGGAAGCAGCATATTCAGAAGAATGTATACTGTATGGCTATACATATTTATAACAAGTTATCAAATAGATTTAAGGAAGATACTATTAATGTTCTTAAAAGAAAATTATTTACGTTGCTCTTAGACAAATGTTTCTACAGTATCGAAGAATTTTTTGACGATAAGAAATTGTGACATGGTAATAATGCATGATAATGTTGTACCTAGATAAAAAAAATATATACATAAATTCACTCTACTAACATTTTGCTCACAAGACAATGGTAGAATGTGGCTAGCATTTAAAATGTAACTACTAACAACTCTGTATATCCATATTATGACAAATAAATATATTTTTAATTTTTACTTACAAAAAGCATTGGAATTGCTTTGTTAGATAAATAAGTGCGGCCACAATTGCTTTTTGGTACTAATTTGTCTTGCTCCCGGAAGTGCTTCGAACAAATGATTGTAGATTTAGTAGGTAGCCAATCTGTCTCTTTTCTTAGCAATCGAATTATTTCAATCCACTTTTCACGACGTGCTACATCTTGAGGTATTCTGTTAAAGTTTATTATAAAATTGATAATTAATGAAGAAATTGAAATGATTCAGTCATGGCAATTTTTTTTCATACAGAAGTCTCTAGTACTGCGAGCTTGGAAGAAGGTGAACATTCAACCGGTCCCTAAAAAATGAAATCGGTCCAGCCCTATCAACTATCGTTCTTACTATATTTTATTATTATTGCCAAAATATTTAAAAACAGTAGAAGGTATCTAATTTCTTAATTAATTTTTTTTCCCACTAATATGGGAAAAAACAAAACGATGTTTTAATGGTAACACTGAATCTAAATTACAATGCTCAGTTTCTTATTTTAATTATAGCCGTATTAACGTTAATATTAATACTCAAACCTTAAACTTACGTGTGAAAAGTAATTCCGCTTGATTTGTTATGGTTTTGTGACCTTGAATTGCATTCTTTCACTACGCATTTACCCATTTTCGCGATTGTTATTGTCACGTGTGGCGCACATTGAACACTGAACTGACGTGTGCTTCGCATAGGCCTGTGGACAAATCTGTAGTGTCAACGCTTTTCGGTGGTAATTAGTAGGGATGGATTAAAATCACAATCATATGATTTATAAAGCCTGTCCTCAGACCTGTGACCAATTTACATAACCGCTACCTAATTATTATTATTACGCTAGCGCAAGTCTCGCGAAAGGTCTAAATCGAAAAAAGCTCGCAATCTTTGATAAAAACAATTTTGATTGATTTTAATGCCATTTATCTTTACATCTATGAAATCGCTGTGACTAAAACCAATCATTTCATCAAATGAATAATTGATTTAAAAGTAGTAATAATTTCCATATCTATAATTACTAATCTAGTGTAATGTATTATATCGTGATATGTGTGTGACCGATTTGACGTATTCTTTCTTTTAATAGTCCGATCATAGTTTAAAAAAAGGTGATATGATTAGAACAATTATCATCATCTTAGCCGAAAGATGTCCACTGCTGGACATAGGCCACACCCAAGGTTCCCTACAATAACTGGTCCGGAGCTGCCCATATCCAACGGCTGCCTGCGAACTATATCAGATCGATATTTTGATCTAATTACCATTTTTCCTGAAAACTAAGTTCACATTGATTGTATTTATTATAAAACTATCTGGAGCCTGCGACAAAGATCTCGTAAAAAATTAGTTAAAAATGCCTTATTAAAAATTTGTTAAAATAATCAAAATTGATAATTTAAACTTTTTGCATATGAAGCTATTTTTTTTAGTGATTACTAAAATATAATTTTGCAACTGGTGTTTGATAGTAAGGATGCACAGACAGCACAGATCGTCATAGTCGTAGAATAGTGTTAGATCTGACATTTATTGAACTTTACAGGGCAGCCATTTCTAATAATTATTTTATTTTTTTGATTTGAAATCTGTAAGTGATAATAGGGTTTGTTTTGAAATGCAAAAAAAAACTGTTAAAAATATTATGCAGTTTTCTAGAAAAATCACATCCTTCATTTTACTTGGAACGCCTATAAAACAAACATTTAAAATCTAAATTACTTGTAATTTTTTCTTGAATGTAGTAATAATATTTAGATGAAGTATCCAAATATGGTAAAATCTGAATTACGAATTTATTTTCAAAAAAATATTCTACGATCATGACGACATAATATGGAAAGATGGAACTGGTGTTAAGTCCTTCAATACTAAGGGAGGAACTCTGATCAACATACTTTTGTCTCCGCGTTATAGATCGAGAACTCTAAATTATCTTTCCTTGGTTCGACTCGAGTTACTCTAAACTCTATTTGATTGAGTTGACAAATCGCTCGTATTCACTTTACAAAAAAACAACACATACTCAACAACAAAACATACTCAACACTCTCGTAAGAGAGTAGATATATTCTTTGCTCAACACACTCATACCCCCGACTAGGGATGTGAGATTAATGGAAAAGAATCGATTAAATAAAAATCGATTTTTCTATATTAAAATTTAATCGATTTGCCAAAAATCGATTTTAATAAAAATAAATAATCGATTTTTTTGTATTATTTAAAAGTATATGCTTTCCATATTCCAATAATAAACCTAAGAGATTCATATTAACTATTTATCAGATTAAAAATAAAATAAAATTATATGAATAAAAAAATAACCTATTCGAAAAATTTCAAAGTAGGGAATTAGGAAACTAAATAGCATTATTAATACTCATTTTAGTACTATGAAACGTTTTATTTATTATAATAAAAATGAAATGATGAGAATTTTTTATTTGACTAGTTTTAAAATAAAACACTTAAAATGAGAATTAAAAAACTAAACGACTACTCTTCATCAACAGTCTTTGATAGTCCACTGCTGGACGTAGGCCTCTCCTTAGAAAGGAGGTTTTGGCTTTGGTTACTCTATAGTCTCAAAAACTAAAGTAAATTACAAATCATTCGTTAATCTTTAAGTTTAAATAATAATTATTGTCACAAATGTCCATGCAGTCCTATTTTACATTTGACTAGTATTAAAATAAAATACTTAAAAGGATCATTATCAATCCTGAACAACTACGTTATGGTCTCTAAAACTAAAATAAAAAACAATCTTTCGTTAATCTGCAAGTTTAAACAATAATAAAATTAAAAATAATTATTACCATAAATTTTCAGGTAAGTAAGCAGTTTAAAAACAATAATTTTGATAGTCTCTTCCCTAAAATACGGTTTCGTGTTTTCCTGACTACATTTCCCGCTTTGGAAAATAATCTTTCGGACGGAGCAGAGATTTTTGATTCAACGCATAGATGGCGCTGGTTTTAAAATTGAAACATACTGCAAGATTTTTTCATTCGTCGCATAGATGCGAGCTGTTTCTGTAAATCGATTTAAACACGTAATTTATAAAATCGATTTACTAAAAATCGATTAACATTACTATAAAAATCGAGAATAAAAAATCGATTATAAGAAAATAATAATCGATTTCAATAAAAATCGATTATTTTTTAACATCCCTACCCCCGACACCAGAATATTATTGTACTCTGTGGAAGTGTGGACCACAAGGAAGCAGCACTATTATCGGATTTTACATATTTTTATTTTTACATTCCGTCATAACTACTTTGCAATAACCTAATCAATTTTCGTGTTCATTTAGCTGTGATAAGCTGTCATATTAAAGTTTATATTACCTTAGTAAAAATGCCTGATTCTTTTACGTGCATAACATGTCAGGTGAGGTTCAAAACACCTGAATTGCAGCGTGAACATTACAAACAGGACTGGCATAGGTACAATTTGAAGAGAAAAGTAGCCTCAATACCGCCAGTAACCCTTGAAGAGTTCGAAATTAGAGCTAAAGAGCATAGAGAATTGAGCGAAAATGCAAATCAAGATGAATCACAATATTGCAAGTACTGTTCAAAGATGTTTAACACTAAAAATGCTTACAATAACCACTTAAATAGTAAGAAACACAAGGTTAGCGAAGAGAAATTTGTTGAGAATGAAAAACAGGAAGATGAGCACAGTGTTCCTTCAGACTCTGACAGTTTTGTAAAGGTTACACCTAACCTGCAAGCTACAGGGGATCCTAGCAAGTTTGTTGTGTTGAATGCTGATGCTTGTGATGACGAAGACATTGAAACAGATTCAGATATCGAGGAGGTATGTAATTGCTTTTTTGCAATGCATGCAATAGCTTAAATAGTTGTGCAATAACTAAACAGGTGTGCCTCAGATCTTCATCTATGTGCATCCTTAATATTGAAGTAAAATAGAACATTGGGTTAACAAACAGGGAGTTTACTGTAGATATTATTGGTTCTGCCTCATACAAGATTTCTGTCCCACATTTTGTATTCCATGCTATTGATTAAAAAAATAAAAATAATATTATCACTATTAATACATTGTAATGATAATATATGTATTACACAACTTGTGATGCATAGGATAAATATGAGGTTTAACATTAAATACAAGCTTACAAGATACTAAGTGGCATATTTTGTAGTGAAAATATAAAACAATTAATAATAAGATAAGTTGTTTATCTTAGACATGGGACAAAATCACACACACAGTGAACTGTGATTTATCATTGACTCTATTTAACAGTAAATCACGTATTTTAACATTATTATGTAGGGAATGATAGCTATATATAATAACCCATGTATGAAAAATTTTAATGAAAAATCACTAGTCTCATAGTTCATTGTGATTTTGTCAGATGCCTATAAACAATTTTATAGCACATATTAAACAAACACATTACCACATACACATATTACACATTACAAGTCTGTCTGGCAACAGTATAGGATTAATGAAAGAAACAACTAAATACTAGACCTCTGAACTCATGTCTTGTAGTGGTATTTAAACTTACCACATGTACTTACAGTTCATCACATTATTATAGGTTATATTGTTTAATATTTTTTACAAGTTGGAATCTGCTGTTTCAATTCTACTAGATAGCCTTATTTCTATGAGTAGACGAGGCATTTAATGACTTTTAGCATGTGCACACAAATTTAGCACAGCTACATGTACCTATGCTGCAAGTATGTTGCACTCTTAATAGAAAGAGATAACATGTAGGTGTAGGTAAGTAGCTGTATGCAATCTGAATTGCATTTTATTGTATTACAGCAAGAACATCATTTTGCAGAGTGAAGCTTCTGTACTTATACTATTAGGTTGTCTGCAGTTAGTATCTGCTTGTATCTAGTTTAGGGCTGCTATAACTGCTGCATAACATTTGGGAACAGAAAAGGAGAAACTGTGAAAAAATGCTAAAGCTCAATGAATATATAATTTAGTTACAAATATCTATAGATATAGTTTTTAATCAGACTTTTACACTTAGTACTTATTACATTAGGAACTTAATTCTCGCATATAATTATTTACTAGAACTAAATAAAATGTGAAGGAAAATGTTAAGGTTTGCCTCTAGCCACCGCTAGGACCGCTAGGGACTCAATTCCCTCTTGTCACTCGGCTAAGTATACGCTGGTAGTCTGTTCCGTGTATTCTGTGCCCCAAGCCATCTAGCAAACCGAGACAAATGTCTTATTGACTGGGACACCGGGACATAGTGGTTGAAACCGGTGTACCGGGACGTATGGCAGCCCTAATCTAGTTTCAAATTAAATTAACAATTTTTTTAATTACAGCTTGACTCTGATGAATGGGACGAATGTCGTATCAAGGGCAGTGACTCCCGAATCAAGCCATGTGATTGCTTGTTTTGTGGACACCATAGTAAGAATATGGTCAAGAACTTGAAGCATATGTCTGAAAGTCACTCATTCTTCATACCTGATGTGGAATATTGTGTCAATATCAAAGATTTACTGTTATATTTGGGGGAAAAGGTAATATCTAGATTAAGTACATACTAGTATTTATTTATTATTGAGGACCTCCAACAAAAGATGTACACAATAATATTATTTGCTAGTGCACTTCTTCAATTATAGGAGACCACAGCATGCACTAAAATGTTGGCTATTAACATTTGGCTTATAACTAAAATATTAAAAAAGATATAAAAGACAGTTGTAACACGTAAAGAATAAAATAAAAGTGGAAACACAATTCACACACAAGCATAAAATAACATTAACAACATTCCTTATAAAAAAATTGTACAAAAATATAATAATATAATGTTATTTACATAAATATGATACAATGCCTTTAATAGTCCACTGCTGGACATTGGCCTCTCCTTAGAAAGGAAGTTTTGGCCTACTATTATATTATTGTGATTGTTTTATACTATATTATTGTGATTGTTTCCTCATTATTAATACAATTTCCTGTAAAATGGAAATCTGTTTGTTGTGTTTAATACAGTACAAATCCATAAAACTATGTTCCTTTTAATGCCAAATAAATGTCATCAAATGGGGTAGATTTTTTTAAATTTATGAAATTTACAAAAGAAAGAAAAATAGAAAAAAAACAATAAACCTGAAAATTTAAAGTTATAAATCACTTTTACCACTACTATCAACTTGTATTCGGTATACTTTGATAAACAGACAATAGAAAAACTTATTTCAAATTTGTTAGAGAGCTCCAAGAATATTTCTTAGTGCTTTTGTTGTCTATGGGCTTGGCATGACATGTGTTAAAGTTATTTTACTATTCCTTTTCTGCCCCTTTTTTGTATACCTGACAATAATTGAACATAGTTATGCAAACTAGAACCAACCCTCAAAAAGTCACTTTCGAGATAATTAGATTTTTGTTTCAAGTTTTGTGAAGTGTGAAGTTTTTTTTTTTAAGTTAATTAGGAAATAAAACTTTACAATATTATGTTTAATATTGATGGCAATATAGGACAACTAAATTATTTTGATTTTTCTATGATTTAGTTTTTAATTTAAATCAAAAACCTGATGGTTCCTTATCGCAAAATTAGTTTTGTCTGTTGGTTCTTTAAACCAGTAAACTACGGTTTTTAAAATAGACAGCTACATTTAAATAATTTGTGTTTTATAATATTTTTATTGTAACTTGAACATAATAATTTAGATATACACATAGAAGTCGTTTAGGAAACTACTTATTTACGTATCACGCCACTTTACCTAATCAAGATTGTCCATCTCTATTTCAAAATCTACTTAACCAGAAAACCCGTCTATGTCATCTTCTACTATTACGTCTCTGTGTAAAAGTCATGGATATCTTCTGGGATAACATGCAATAATAAGCTTTTTGAATCATTTATCTTGGCCTCAGGTTTTCCATTCGGGCAAAGCGGACCCATTAGATCTTTAGTCAATGGGTCTGTATTTCCTCGTGAATTTTTCTTTAGATTTACTTCAATATAGAGCGCATAAAAATAGAAAACTTATCTTCTGTCTTTATCAATATTTCTTTCGGGTTAAGCCACGACACTTTTGACCCATCAGTAGCTTTTTTGTTTGTGATTCTCTTTTCCAGATTAGCACTGGACAAAAAATCTTCTTTTCTCATTCTATTAACTTGCATTGGCTTTGTTTTTTTGCATTTTACACATGTAGTCTTTTGGCGTGTATAGTCTTTGCTGTAATTTCAGTGCACATTTGATTCGCCAAAATTCGGTATCGATAGGTAGGAAACTATGCTCAGATTGCAGGTAGCTAAGTTTAAAAAGTTGAATGAATCTCTACGTCAGCTTTATGTTGCGGTTTTGACCGCCACAAGAGTCACTCCAGAGTATCAGGTTCTTCACACCGTCATTGTTGCCAAGTCTCTTCATTACATACTTAATAAGACATGAACCCACTTCCTGAGATCCTCTCCCAGCTTCTCCTTCTACCCAAATGTTGCAATGCGCCTCGTTCTTTCCAGAATGGATTCCTAAGTTGTAAACCCACAGCTGTCTTTTATAAAATACTATATTCGTGGGTATACGTGGAAGAGGTAGTGTTTTTTGCAGGTCGAAAGTTATTGTTTCGGTGGAAGGATCTTTACGGGCTAATTTCATGTCACTTTTAAGTTGACGATAGCAGTGCTATTTACTAATGATAAATCAACCAATTTAGAATATGACATCAATCAAACATTAGAAAATATTGTACACCAGCTCAGAGTTAATAATTTAATGATCAACATCGCTAAAACAAAAATGATGAATTTTAGAATACGTGCACAACGCACGGCTTCCCTAAAAATACGACATAATGATAGCGATATAGAAGAAACTGAAGTAACAAAATTTCTAGGTTAACATATTGACAACAAAATTAATTGGAAATTACATGTTGACTATGTTTGTAAAAGGCTAAGTCAGTTTCCTCTTGTCAAAAGACTCTTCTAGCAGCCTATCATGGTTACGTTAGTTCAACCTTACGATACAGCATAATATTTTGGGGTAATACTTCAGACAAAGGACGAGCATTTGTAGCACAAAAACGCTGTATAAGGGCTATGCTTCTGCAGGAAACCGACTCGTGTGTAAAAAACAAAAAAAAAACTTAACCTTGCCAAGTTTATACATTCTGCAGGTTGCATTATTTGTTAAGAATAATCCTGAGCTATGTAACTATCGTCAACGCATAGACATAAATTGCAGATAGTTGCTAGCAAGACACATCTGATGCATGAAAGTATATTCTGTACAGCTTCGCAAATATACAACAATATTCCAAGAGACATCAGGAAGGTTAAAGAAATTACCATGTTTAAAAAGAAACTACATGACTTTTTGCTAAATAAATGTTATTATACGGCCAAAGATTACATGACCGACAGGTCTCTGCTCCATTAAACAATACCCCAGTCATAATTTGGTCAGTGTTCCTTACTCTTATTATTGTATATATACATTATTATTGCCTGTTTGCAAAATTCTGTTAAAATGTGATCCATATTGAATTCACAAATTTTATTATTCATTGCATGTACCTATATTATAATAATTTTATCTATTGTTTGCCCAATAGGCGGGCCATAGCTAAATACCGATAACTATATCTTCTATATAATGTACCTATGATCTACAAAAAAGATTACTTACTTACTTAATTTGGAATAATTTATTTTTTAGTAAGTGTTTTCTGTGAGCGTCTTCAACCAGAGCCTTTTCTTCTGAGCTTTGCTTCTTTTTATTAGAAAAGAAGTCACATTGGTTGCATGTATCTTTTTTTAAAGGTTTTGTACGAAGATTGAAGTTAGTTAAAAATACACGTTTTCCTTTGGAAAAGAGAGAACTTTTTGTCCAGCCAATTTCGTTTCGTCGCAATACAACTCATAGATTTTTGAAAAACATCGGATCGCAAAAAAATTGCATTATTACAATCTGCTCGCCGATAATGGGAGACATATGTAGACAGAGTCGCTTTCAGAACTTGCTTTATTGTGTCCGCCTTGTCGACCACGCTTATCTTTTATGCAATTATCTTTTTTTTTTGCACAGGGATGTATTAACCCTTTTGGAGGTCGTCTGAAGAATGTTTAAAAACATTTTATTACAAACAAGTACATTATTTAGATGATATTCTCGAGTAAATGTTTTTTTTCTTTGAATTAATGGTACTAACAGGAACGTAAGAACGTTTTACTGGTATTTCGGTCACACAAGCTGCAATAATCATATTCTGTGATTCATATGAGCCTAAAGCATTTTTTTTTTTTTGGAATTCTACGTATCTATTATCACTCGAAATAAGAGTTAGCATAGTTTAATTTTTGGTATTTCCTCTTCTTTCTTTCTTCTCGAGTATGTAAACCATATTTTCTTTTTCTACCTTTTTTTGGCCTCATCAACAGCTTTTAATAGTCCACTGCTGGACATAGGGCCTCTCCTGAGAAAGGTTTGGCCTACTATACCACACTGGCCCACACTGTCCAGACGGGTTGTCCTTTTTGGCCTACCGCTCGATAATCTAGCGGTTTCAGAAGTGTTAACTTGCAGGGTTTGAGAAGAATAGGCAGAGGGTTGAAGTTCGTTTGGATCACCTGACATTTCATACACTTTTGTCGATGTGGTAATGACCGATTTTTATGCCCTTGAACTAGTATCCCTACCGCTAATGTCATCAATACAAACAAAATCTGATGATGATTTCAGTTCTATTGGCAGATGCTGATGATACTTTTGGACGGTTTTTATCAACATCAAACTAAGGTCATTGTTTCTGTACATATTTTACAAAATGTTAATAACAATATATATTATACATCTTGGTTACTTCATAAGGTATTCTTTATGATATGTATTCAGAAAAAAACAATCATTATGGTTCCTTTTAGCACATAATTTGTATTTTTATTTTTAAAAGAACCATGTGGCTTGGTTCCATTTTACGTATTAAAAATGCAAAAGACTTGTAGGTACCATGTGACATGAGTCTTTTTATCTTTTATAAAGTGAATCGATCTTTTGTTGGTACCCTAAGCAGGCTCATTTTTTTTCTTTTGGCTTGATAAATTGACCAGGGTCTTTTCTAAGAAGGTGTAAAACATGGTTGGTCTATCTTGAACTATAACTCAATTTGACTCGAGTTGTGGGTTGGTACTTGTTTGCACAACTATGTCCAATTATCTATCCAAAATTTAATGTCGTTTTGATTAAGTTATTAAGTTATGACATTTAAAAGTGTATCAAAAACTCACTTTGTCATTAATAATGTTAGGATAATGTGATTTGGTCCAATGTACTTAAAATTGTCTAGCAAATCTGTTCTTTCGATGTTTTGTGTTTTTAAAATATTACTAAAATAACTATACCTCTTACAGATTTCACAAGGATACATGTGCTTATGGTGCAATGACACAGGACGCACATTTTATTCAATGGAAGCAGCCCAAGCTCATATGATAGATAAGGGACACTGCAAAATGTTGCACGAAGGAATTGCCTTAGCAGAGTATGCGGATTTTTATGATTATAGGTATTTTTCTTATCTACTTTAGACTCATATCATCACATGTTTGATTTCAACGGTGTTGTCAACAGAAATGATTTAGTTATAAATTACTAGAATACTACTAATTGACCATATAAAAAAAATTGGTTGGATTGTATTTAATCATCATCGTCCGAGCCTTTTCCCAAACTAGGTTGGGGTCTCCTTTCAGTCTGCTACGACACAGCTGAATTTCGATTTTTTTCTTGGAGCGACTGCCATCGGACCTCCACAACTCAAGAGTAGAAAATATCGAAGTTTTGTATTTAATAAATAAACAAATTATTAAACTGAAATTAAAGATATTAATACAGGGGTTTTAAAAATATATAAATTCTTATAATGAAGTATGATCATTTCGGTAATAACCACATTACTTGGTAAAAAAAAACAGTAACAATAAAATAATTATTATTACAGTTCTTCATACCCTGATCAAGAGAAAACTGATGAAGGTGATATGGATGTGGATGAAGAAGTGGAAGGTCCTGCAACATTGGAGGGTGATGATGTCCAATTGGTGCTGCCATCTGGAATTACAGTCGGCCATCGCTCTTTAATGAGGTTTAAATATTTGTATACCAAGTTAATAACTACTTTTATGTTAATAGGACCCTCATGTTTATTTTAGCTGATAACATAATCATAATAGATTTACAAAAGAATGAATTGATATGACAAAGTTCATAGAATTCTTTTGTGATTTATTTGAATGTGTTATATGTTAAAAATAACAATACATAATTATGCTGTTAGTATAAACATGCGCAATTTTAAATCACTTAACATATCTCCAACCCACCTATACGAATTCTTCGCCAGAATACTCACGTTCTTACCAGCAATAAAGTTCATTATAAATTTAAACCGTATGGCAGTGCATAAAATACGAATAAAGAAACATCAATTTCTGTATAAATCTTGTTTTTCTATGTAATTACTGTTTATTTCCAATTGTTCCTTTGAATTAAAACAGAAATCAGCTTTTTTCATTACTTTATTCTGAGTACTCATTGGAAATCTTAATAAAAATCTTTCTTTTTGGTTGGTCCTCATGTCTGGGGATCAGTATCAGGGTTGGACCTGGAGCAGATGATTTCTCGCCACCTGTTCCTATCCAGCGCGTCTCTCAAGACCGTGCACTGATTCAGGGACGATGGGTCTTTAACCTGGTCGGTTCACCTGTTTGATGCACGACCGCGCGATCATTTGCAAAGATAAAAAAGTTAGATTTATACACTTAACTGAAACACAACATAAATATCATTGAATTACAGATACTACAAACAGAATTTAACACATAACAGTCAAGCTCTAGTGAAAAAATCGGACCGCAAACTCCACAGACTTCTTGGCGTCTACAAGGCGCTTGGATGGGCACCCAAGGAACAAGCATTAGCTGCCAAGTATGTAAAACAGGCCTGTTTCATTTTTGGCCTCACCAATAGGCCTGCAGCTGTAGTCGTTGGTTATAATTTTCTCATTCGCAAAGTAATAGTTGACACGAATGCTATTTTTTTAAATTTTATCAAATTGTAATGTTTTTACATTTTCGTGGGCTTAAATTAACAATAAATATCATTTTGATTTTTATTGAAGGTTTCGGTCAGTATAAATTGAACTATCATTGTGTAGCTATACATGTCCTGACAAATCAATCCAAATACTCGGTGACTGGACATTTTTACGTATTTAAAAAAAAATGATTTCAAATTTTATGTGTTGTAAATTTTACGTTACTGCCAAGTACCGAAGTTGCTAAGTGTTTTGCTTATTTTTCTTGTTATGGCAATGGTGTTAACAGATGTAATGTTTGAACGTTAAAATTGTTTAATACATGATGTTATCTGCGTTACAGGAAAGCACGGGATATTCACTTTATGAAACGCGTACAAGCCAAGATGCAGATGAAGCTGTCTTTGAAAGCCAATAAATTCCAGAAACATTACAGACCACAGGTCAACTTTTAGACGAATCCTGATCATGGTTTTATCTATGACGTAATTTCTTTTGTTACTTCAATCATTGTATTTATATAAAGGTACCAATTAAAGACCATTTATTAAACTTTATTAAAAGAGCTTACAAAATAAATTACTTAGTTTAAGTTATGTTTAGGTAACGGGCGTTGAATGCACGTTTTTATATTTTATTTATTATTTTCGGCCCGAGGGGGTTTTCACACATAAAAAAAAAGATCAGCACACTTTCTGCCCTTTACATCTAGGAGATAAAATCAACAGCCTTTTGTAGTCCACTACTGCCACAACTTGGACATAAGCCTCTCCTTAGAAAGGAAAACATCCTTTGATGTAATAATACCAATCTGGCTAGATAGGTTGGTACAGGGTTTGTTCCAAGTTTTCCTTCTCTTTACAGTGCTGATGTCCCGCATAGTGCTGCCTTAGTTGGCTCTTACGACACCCACGGAATGAATAGCATTGGTGACACTGCGAATACTTAACTCAAAGAGCAGTAATGCACTTGTATCTCTTATGTTACACTCGCCTAGAGACAAACGGTCTCCTACTACATAAAAAAATACAGACTACACAGATACGAATTCTGTTCAACCCCTTGCAATGCAAAAAATATACAAAAATACGCACCGCGCTCAACGCTTATAATCTAGGTAATTAATTGTTAACTATTTCTCTAAAATATAATTAAAAATTACTGGTATTTGATTTGATATTTTGTTACAAGTCAAGTTTTATTTATGTTTTGGTCTTCAAGATATACCTATAAACTTAGGCTTCTATAGATGAGTTCCTAGATGCTTCAATAATATATAGGAGTGTCGCGTATACTTTCAATATTGAAATACCAAGCTTGAAAATCAATAGAAAAATACCTTATATATATAAAGTTATACGATTTAAGAACACTTAGTATGTTTAATGTCACGCTATTGTACACGCATGTTCATGTATGTATTAGAGAGTGGTTTTAATGGAATTGATGTTATTTAGATGGTGTTGCCATTACTTTTTACGCCAATTACCATATTTATCACTGTTACAAAACACTGTTCACAGATAATCACTTGGTACCGGTACAAATATCCTGTTCCTCCTCATTACTATGAGGCGAAGAATATTTGTAATGTCTTAACGTTTTCTGTAGTGTGTCTAAAACTACCATAAAGTTCAGGTAATACGTACGTATAAATGTTTTCAGTCAGTAATTGTCTTGGCATTTGTAAGTTTTATATTTTTTTATTTACTATCTGTTAAAATTTGTGGTTATAACATCAGCATAATCAAGAAATTATTTAAAGCATTTCGTTTCATAAAGATTCATTGGCTGGAATAGCATAAACAAAAAATAATTTATAATTAAGATTCGGTATTGACCAAATTTTAATTATAAATTATTTTTTGCTTGCATTCATTTTTGTTCACTTATGCTAATTGAAATGTTATAATTTTAATTCAACTTGTATTCACATTTTTCGAAAACAAGAAAATTACACATTTTGAAATAAGTGTTTATAGTTCAATCTGTAATTATAAAAAAACAATGAAATAAAATATCCGAAACAAAATTTACGCTGTATTATTGGTTGTCTTCGCCGGTATATATTTATAGATTTTTCCTTTTTTTGCTATACTCTGGCCTACGTTGGCCGTGATATTAGCATTGCTCTCGTCAGCCAACGACCACGGGATCTTGACTGGATTCCTGTCTAACTTTAAACTGACTTTATACAGCGGAAACGTCGACACCTTTCCTTTAAAATAGCGTGATATCACCTTAGATAACCCCTCGTGGATGACGTACTGCGGTTCGACGTCCGGAATCTTAGCTAGGTATTTAGTGATAACTTGTTTTATTTCATCATCTAATTTGTTATCCGCTACTGGTTCTAAACAATTAGCTAAGGCGACCGTTACTATCAACTGTAAATAATCAGAAATTTTACATATTTTTGCTAATGTATTGAATTAATTTTATTTTAAGGGACTTACCACAATCATAAACATGTTGAATACATTTGTGGAATCAAGCTACTCGTGTAGCTCGTGTGTTTAATCAACAGAAAACTCATAAAACATAATTTATAATTTCAATGCATATTTATGCGTGTTACGGTTATTAAAATATGAATTTTGGAATGACTTCGAATGGAAGCAATAACAGTATTTTTTAAATTTGTACGGTGATTGTTATGCAGAAAAAATATATTAGTATACCTAACGTTAGGTTTCATTATCCCTATTCATTATTGCCGGATACCTCCTCAGAATGGTACGCCGTGTGGTTTTAGTCGGTTCGATTCCGACTCAAACCACACGGTGTACGACGGTGGGATGACGGCCCAAGGGGGGTTTCCACACGTAAAAAAAGATAATAAAAAGTGGTGGGTAACATCCCACCACTCGTCATTAAATATGTGGCCTAACTGGTACATACGTTGTCGTTCTTAAGCAAGTAAATGTTCGAAACTCCAACTTTGTATTAGGGAATTGTTTGTTTGTTTTGTCTAATCAAATTAAAAAAAATATACTTAGGGCAATTAATTTTAGGGGTGTCATTGACCCTGGCAGAGCCATCATCATGATTTTAATTTTGATAACACAAAACTTTAGTCGCTAATTTGTCAGCGTTTATCGGTGGCCCTGATAGCGTCAACCAGTGACCGACAAATTTGATATTTGGCGACAAATTTGGACTAATTAGCGACTAAATTTTTGTCTAATCAAAAATAAATCTATTGAAATCTGGCCATGCCAGGGTCAGTGACACCTGTTAATCGTGTTTGGGTGGATTAAATGCTTAACATAAAAAAAGAAAGTCGTTAAATAATTTATTATTTTCTAGAATTTATTATTTTCTAGAAGCCAGTTTATTGTGAACACACATTCTTGTTTCTCTTCAAGTACTTTCTTCTAGACGACACTATTTTAAAATTTTGCTGATAATTATTCATTGAAACTACCCATAGAAGCCGAACAATAAAACATTGTTCCTATAAGTAGTAACATCTTCCGTATAGAAAGCGGTTTAGATGCTGTTATATCCAGTTCAAATGAATGATGAATTAACTAGGAATGTGGCTTATACTCTAATAGTCTCGAGTGTCCATTTATTATAATAGTAGCTTTCAGTAATCAATAGATTGTGACACTGATACATTTGTTTAGATATACAATAAATATTTGACTACATAATTTAACAACGTCTAACGCAACTTTTATCTTTTCGTGGTATTATCCTGTACTGGCAGATCAGGCACTCCTCTAGGAGCGGTGCCTCGTCTTGAGAAACCTAGCGCTGCCTTCAGTACACTGATGCCAGCGTCAATTGTCCGTTTCCTATCATTCTCATTGCCGATTGCGGGGTTGATTTCAACCAGGTCTATAGCACGGAGACGACCAGTTGCATGGATAATCTCCATCATTTTAATAGCTTCTCGTAAAGTAAGTCCACCACGAACTGAAAAGATGTAATATTTTTTTCAAATTATTTTTAACGGTACGTTATGTGAATGTTTGTTGGAACCAAGTAGTTATGAAGTCATACTTCGCCATAGCCAAACGAATCGATTTTTAGTCTCAAATAATACTACACCAAAATCAACAGTCTTTAGTAGTCCACTACTGCCACTACTTTGACATAGGCCTCTTCTTAAAAAGGAGGTTTTGGCCAGTAGGTATAATAATACTAAGCTGCCCAGACGGGTTGGTATAGGGTTTGTTTCAAGTTTTCCTTCTCTTTGCAGTGCCGATGTCCTGCAGAGATCTCCATTAGTTGGCTATGGCGACTTCCACGGAATGAATAGCGGTGGTGACACTGAGAATACTTAATCAGTCTTATCCGTCACGTCACGGAGTAATTGATTAATGGATTAAATGATACTAAGGAATGTTAAAAAGTTTCTCTTACAAAACATCTTTCCCATAAACACATTTAGTCACAAGTCCATGTGTAAATTACATTTCTAGGAATAAGTACTTCGGGCATGTAGAATGTGAGCAGAGCAGCTCTGCAAGTCTCGTTTATGATAGTAGTGCTGATTATACTAAATTATCAATAAAGCTGTACAGAATTTAAATTTACGAAAATACTTGTCCATTTATGTCGTCAGTAACGTGAAAAAGCTTTTACTAATGCTGCTTGTATTTGAAAAAATTACCAGGATAACCAACCTGCAGTTCCAGTACTAGGTGCTTCCAACGCATCCACAGAATCAATATCGAAACTCACGTGGATTGGTCGGCTGTTGGTTGGGTCTAACGTCTTCAATATGTACTGAATAGAATTTTTAATTCCGTTCCTGAAGAATAAAAGGGTGACTTTGATTCAATCCTTTATAAGAATCAGATATTTGTGGATGCGGTGAATAGGCTAAAGCAGTTGTAATGATAATAAAAATTGTTCATTAGGTGGCAACTAGGGCCAAGTTACCACCACAGTGTTAATAGCATTTAACTTAGGCCTAATATTTGTAAAATAACAACTTTTGTTTGTAATTTTATATATTGCGTAATTTATTTCGTCTTCGGCCTATAAAATAATTATCCAATTGGGGTTAGTAAGATCGTCTGCATTGATTAGTTCTAGAGTTTATAGTTATAGTAGTTTATAAATAAGTATATCTTCTCCCCTTGTTGTTGATATCCGTGATAAATAACCGTGTAATAACCTTGTCGGGTCAATTCCGGGAGGCACCAGACCTCATTAAACCAAAACTGCCACAACAGTTGAACGATAAAGTTTAAATTATTACTTACTCGTCAATATCCTCCATAGCACAGCATGGTACATTGAATTTCTGAATAGCCAGCCTTTCATATTGATCTACGGAACGAAGTCCAATGTAACCTAAGCTCTTGATAGAGAATCTGAAAACAAATAATTTTAGGTTACATAATATATCAAGGATTTATCTGTAATCAGTTTGTTTCACTTGAAGTATGTACAAACAAATAAAACTTATCTATGTAGAAGCAATCGGCAAATCTCTTGCCGATTGCGTCGTGGTGAATGAGCTACAACAAAAGGCCTATCAGCATACAAACGAAGTAGAAAGATACTTTTAAAACAAGTGCCAGCGAGAAGACAATGTCATCATTTACCCGCTCTATTATTTTAGTTGTAACTGCACAACTGACTGATGTCAATATTTACAAATATGGTGACAGTCAAGTAATCTAGATCGATCTAGAATCTAGATGGATAAATTGTTAGTTGTTCGATCATCTATCACTGCTTTTTTCTGTCCCATAAATGTAATGTTAAAATAATCGCGCAGTTAGTATTTCACTTTCATATGCCGCAGGAGCGCCTAATTAATTTATAAAGGCGACCGAGAAGGTGCTTTACTCCAAGTACGCCCTGCGACGTGATGCAGGTTCTATATACGCTCTATATAGAACCTGCATCACGTCGAGCAATTTGTTCACTGAGCTTTGAAACTGCTTTAGAATAAGCGGAACCGACTCGATGATTAAGTACGGCGCGAGATGATGTTAGTCTCGTAGTAACTTGATAGGCTTCACGAGTTTCTAGTCCTTTTTTCAATAATTCATTTATTCAACTGTGCAACTGACTGGCATTTAAACTGACCAAGCACTTACTTTCTAGTGGGAGACGCACCCCTTTTTTTTCTTTTTTTCTTCTGTGCGTAAATCCCCTCTGATACCACCCGCCGGTGGTTATGTCGGACTCGAACCGCCCAAAAACGCACGGGGTGTTGTACCAGTTGGGGAACCAGGTGTGTACCCTAGGAAGGAAATCCCTGATACCCCGACGTACCTCGATCCGTCTACGGCGTGTAGATGACCCCCTCCTGTGTGGTCCTATGCCCCCTTTGTGAACCAGAAAGGGCGCGCGCGCTCCGCAGCGCATCTCGCCACCCCAATCTGCTTCTGCTAAGGTGACAGATGGCCTCACCTACCACCCCCAAGCCTGTACTTAGAGAGGACGGAGGTCGTTCTGCGACCTTCGGCGCCTGGGTCATCTGCGGTACCTAGTCCGTTCCCGGGCCTGGCGTGCCAAGAGGGATCTAAACCTCTACCGGTCCCGCTTCGCCATCTCATTCGCAAGCATAACTTGCTCGCAGAAGGAGACGGCGGAGTTCCACGCACTCTTGCTTCGTACCATGGCGGAAATCATGTTACCGAGCGAGAGAATTCCCACTGTGATGGCCACCACGAGGCAAGTCTTCTGCTCCACTCACGCCAGGCATTCCGCCAGTGTTTGGAGCGCCGTGTCCACGGTCCGGCCATCGCTGTGGTATCACTCAGGCGTTGGCTCCTTGCGGATCAGACACAGGTGATCTCCGAAGCATCGTTTCCCGGTGATCATCTGCGTCAATCGTTATGAGAGGGTTCCGTGATGCCTTTCGAGCCAATCCTCCATAACAGGATTTACTGCCGCGATAATAGCGTGCCCAGCGCTCGGTTGACCAAGTCGTTTCTTGCACTCCTCCACGAGGACCTGGCGGAGTTGGGATTTCTGATCCGCGATTTCTCGAGACTCAGGACTCTGACCCAATTCCCGCGCCTCTTTGCGCCACTCCAAGGTTCCAAGGTGGAGTTCCAGCCAGGAGACTCGCCGCCTCAAAGGAGCCATCTGTGGTGAGGTGTGTTCCACCACTTGCGATGGGAACAGGGAGCCGATGACCGCTCCAAGCAGTTAGTCAGAAAGATACCGGGTCAGCGGCGGGGCCCATAGGCGCAGCCCCTAACCATACGGTAGAGGCGTCCCCACGGATTCCGCTCCAGTGGGGAGACGCACCCCTGATGTATTGCTCACCAGAAATAAACTAAAAATCAGTTTAGAAAATATGATAACGATACAATTTAAAAATAAATAACAATTTATATCAATGTATTACAAAATATGTATTAAAATAATTATTGAAACAAGTTGAAACAAATTTGTTGATTCATTGAACTAGAATATCCAGGTTAAAAGTTAGAGGACAGTATGTTAAATAGCCGCTTAGGTATGTATAGGTGATCCTCTATAGGTATTGTTACTTATGACTAAAATATAAAGAATTATACAGAATATTATTATTATTGTCTACTATTTTCAAAGATCTAATTTTTTTTTTATAATTTTAATGAGAACTTCCGCAGCGATTCCTGTGCCGCGGGTGACTTAACATCAAAACACAACGGATCCACACTCAACACAACCTATGGAGGGTAGAGGCAAGGAGGACCATCTCATATGGGGAGAAAGTTGAAAAATTGACAAGCTGTATACTGAAAGTAGAGGTCGCTGGCGTACGAAAAACTACGATATGAATATAGCTGTTTTAGACGGAGTGAAGCGTGCTGAGTTTAAATTTTATAATAGGTACTTTTGTTGTCTGAAAGTTATTAAATGTTTATTTATTGTCAGTAAAAGTCATTTTCGCATTTTCAGACTATTTTCGCAGTGTTTAATTGTTATTTCGGCCAATATACATTTTTCGCTTATGCTACGGTAGCGCCCCTAATTTAACGCATTTGGAGGGACACTTTTCATACATGATGGTTCTAATAGCCTTTACCCTCCATAGCACAACCGTTATAGTCCATCTAAACTAAGAAGTACCGTTTGAAAGTTTTGACAGATTGAAGAATAGGGAATGGGTCAATGAAATCGATTAGGTACTACAATATCCGATTCTTAAGATATATTATCATTTCTTAGTAGTTACTAATCGATTACAGTTTTACAGATTTATGTATGTTACTGTAAGGTATATTGGTATATCTTAGGTTTTACTAGTGAATCTTAGTATATACCAATGTGACTTTGAAACGAAATCCAAAAATTCTATCAATTGTATATATTTGTTTTGTTCGGTACCACTTGGATTAGATGAACTATAGTAGATTATATTTATTGTCCTGTGCAGGAATCGCGTACTTTTATTTATATTATAATATATTTTCAGTTGGTACTATATGCTCAATGATAGCATCATTTAACATTCGTGATTATAGATAAGCTAGTGGAGTGCTCGTATTGCTGGCATCTGTGACATTGTGGTTTTACCGTTATGCCAGAGCGTTCCCAAGTAGTTCTTATGTTACTGATCCGATAAATCACATTGCCTAAAGTATAAAACGAACAAAACTTTGTCAGATTATCATTACTTATGAAATTTAAACAGTATAATAATAATAATAATAATGTTTATTTCTCCTCACAACATACATTTTAACTTCATAGTACAATAATATTTAGGGTAGTGGTTACATATATTTCTGTATATGTGAAGAGCTGGTGTCTGACATAGGCATAAGCCTGTCCTACAGATCACCAAGTCCTCACCCAATAAATACACAAAATAATATTGCATGTACTCACACCAGATCTTGCCATTCAAATGTGGGTAAGTAAGGCCAGTAATGAGAAAATTCCTTGACCAGAAGCGCTACTGGCATACCGTGTACAGAACCTGAGTCAGAAGTTTTATTAGTGTTGATATCAGCATGGGCGTCCACCCAGATAAGAATCATGTCCTTGTTCACCTTTTGGTGACCGTCCACCGTCCCTAAAATTATAAATATCTATTTAGTATGTACGTAGAGAATTTAAGGAGTATCATTTATTCGTTTTAATGCGTTCCTACTTTGATTTTTTAAAATTACGTGATAGTATATACATTTTTTAGTAAGCTGCAGTGCAAATAAAAACATAGCATAATCGAAATACTTATTGGATGTACACGCTTAAACACTTAATGGTGTTTTAGGTTGCAGGTGTCTCATAAAAAACATAGGCCATTTGGTATTTAATAAGGTTTTTTTTTTAATGTCCCGCTCTAAGAATATAATCTTGTTTCGCAGGGGACTTTACAAACATACATGAAACGGACACAAAGAACGCCATGACTAAGGACAATAATTTGTGGATCACGCAAAGTGATGTCCCGTGTGGGGCTCGAACCCACAACACTTAGCGCAGTAGGAAGCGGCGAAGTGACCGCTTAAATCGCTACGCCATCCGTGCAGTCAGTGTTTCTAATACATCGGTAAACATGTATGGACCCTGTTTTCCATCAAATGATATGTATATTATTTCTTGTTTAACAAATTTTAAGGGAGGTCACAGCGAAGTAACAGTAAGATATACGAAGGATTTGCTGTTTATTGATTCTTCTACGGGGACAGGATTTAAAGTTTATTTGTTACAAACCATGGTTGGAATAATGGACGAAAGACTTGGATGGAAACAAACGGAGGCTGTTTCAAGCTACTAAGAAAACTGTATTAAAATTTACACCGGACAAGAACTACAATTTGTTCAAACATGTGACACCTTTTGTAAAAATAATACAGCGTAGTACCAGGTGGTCGTATTTGCAGTTTCTGGATTCGCTTAAAATCAATGTATGAGAATTTTTTAGAACCATTTCTCAGGATACCATTGTGCTACCTACTACTACACAGGATTGTACTACCTATTAAATGGTTTGTTTTTGGTTTCCTGCAAATAACACAACCAAGATCGATACTTCGTATAAAAATCATTGTTGTCTTACCAACACCGATAGAGTGATCACCACCAATGGTAACAGCGATTCTATCGTCCTTGAGCACTTGCGTAACTTGCTCCGATAAACGTTTGTTGCAGTTAGACACCATGGACAAGTGGTCCATATTTTTAACATGAAGGTCTAGTTCTGGACTCGAAGTGTCTATGTCACCATAGTCCTTAACGTCAAGATCATCTGTGTGGTAAAATGAAGCAAAGTTTTATAAATTCGTCGTTATTGTATATGGTATTTACCTCATACAACAGGTCATCTAAAACTACCTATCTAAATCGATTTAGGTATCGGTTGCTATAAAAATAACACCTGTTTCTAAGTCTAGGCTTGATTATAATTATGTATATGTAATAAGTTGTTTTGAAATACAAGACAGAGGTACTTTTACAATGAAATCAATTTTTTGAAACTAATTTTACATCTTTCTATTAAGCTATTAGCTGCTGGACATAGTTTTATTTTTGTTATAAAAATAAAACTATACTATACTAAGTACTATACTTTATTCATTTATATTCTGGAAAAACGGTCACAAAACTTTGTGAAGAAAAAACCAAGAGATATTCTTGGTGTTCTCATCATGATAACTTAAACAAATACTATTCAACTAATGTAAATTAGCATCTATTGAAATTGTTCTATAAATGAATATCTATCTATCTATATATATAAAAGGAGAAACTGACAGACTAATTCACTGACTGGTCTATGAACGCACAGCTGAAACCCCCAGCGGTTTAGAAGTCTTTGTCTAGAAGCACAAAATTTTGCATAAATATTCGTCAGGTGACGTAGGTGTGCACTAAGAAAGGATTTTAAAAAATGCCACTTAAAAAGCAAGGTGGGGGTTAAAATTTTACATTAAACTTCGTTATTTTTCGTAATAGCGCTATTAAACTCATAGTTAATATGCTTTAGTTTTGATCTTCTTTTATACATACATTTATCTATAATCTTAATTCATTGTATCCTCTACAATGTCTGATGTCGATTACCACGCGGACAAAGTCGCGGGCACAAGCTAGTATTAAATAAATAAAAAAATAATGGAAGTACTGTTTCAAATTCGGTTACTTGGTTCTTTCTTGTACACCGTACGGAAATTTTTCAAGCAGTGTTAGGTTAGTGTAACTTACTATTCTAGCTATTAAAATCACCAAGTCTCACAATTGCCTGAAATATAAAGTAAGGAATACCCTTATTACAAAGAGTTTATTAAAATTACATTTAATTTACATTTTGAGACAGTTTAAATCTTGCATTTTCAATAGCCCATGTTTTTGGCATTAAGTACAGTTATTTTTACTGTTTTTGTGCAGAATTCAGTTATAAAATATAATGGTTATGCTTCTATTATTTTAGTTCTGGGAAAACTTTTTTATTAAAAAGAAGAACTTTTATATAAACTACAAAGGATTTTCACAAAAATTCTTGAACGTTTATCCGTCCTTACCAATCGTGTCTTTCTTATAAACCACAATTAAATTGTATCTTCATGGGTTAGTATTTATTGAGCGAGTTACTAACTGAGTATCCTTTTGCTATTGTATAATATATAGAAAAGTAAATGCAGGATGATTAGTTCTTATAAACTTACCAATCTCACGTAGCGCTTCTAAAAGTCCTGCCGAACGCAATGCTGCCGGTGCCACACTCACTCCATACTTTTTTTGTCCTTTTTCAAATGGGACACCGACGACTCCCACCTTCTTTAAGGGCTGCCACTTCTTTCCTTGACTCATGTTTCGGACAAATACTCTACAAAGATTCATTTTCTTTTACTATTTATTAAAATCTTTAATAACACAAGAGCGTGTTTGTTGAACGCTATGAGATAACTCTCTGACTAAAATACAGTGTCTTATCGTAATAGTATCAATGTCAGAGGTTAACTGATGACTGGAACTATTCAATAATTTAGGAAGTCTTTTGCACATACAATCTGATAAGTATTATATTATAATATTGGTAACTTATAAATTTCATATTATTCTAAGTTTTATAGTACATTAAGTTATATGAAAAAAAGTGCTTCGTTCGGGTGCACCTTACCGCGATTTAACGTATAAACATCTTCACTTTTGATTATACTCGCACTTCATCTGAATTCGATTTGATATGCTTACAAACAAATTGTTTCGTAGCAACCAAGGTCGCTTGGGTGCTAAGGTGTTCACAAATTATATATTTTTAACATTATCCGAGGACAAGCTCCTTGTATTTTTGGGTGCAAATGAAGTAGCGCGGCGTGTCAAATCTTGAAGTTGAAAATGATAAAAAAAACATCTTATTAATTATTTTAGTAATTCTAGTCATAGATAATCTTATAAACTCCAAATAATAACTTAAAATATGCAAAAGAACTCTTACGAAAGTTTGATAATACGTTTTACTCGATGTTAAATTCTATTTTAATTTAATTTGTTTTGACTTTGGCATGTATCCAATGCGACTAAGGAATGTTTATTCTAATTTGATGATTCATTACATAATGTTGTCGATTTCTGAAATATAAGGCTGTAAGACGCATTGTTGTAACTTCAAATTTGTTGATTCTGATTTTAAGGTATATCTATAATAATATGTTCTACGTATATGACAGTTAGATAGACCCCGCAAAGGCAAGGACAGTAACATCATAACGTATAACTAGGAAATAGAGATAAAACTATAATTTTTGAGCATCCTAATTAGCCAACCCTAAATGTGATGACATATCATTTGTTTACAAATATTTTACATTCAACTTGGCCCTTATTTAGATGCTCGTTCTGTTATCTCAATATGGCACCCATTTAATTATAGGAAATTGACTTTAGTCGACTTGCAGTGCAGTTAGTCAGTGCGTTCAATATCTTCAGTATGTCAACATGATATGTAATGTCACTAATTTAATTTAATGTGATGAATTAACGAAACGAAAAAGAAGACAGCTAAGAAGATTATATTCCACCAGTTAAGTTGTTATTACAAATTGCAATTTTCAACTGACTACCGTTCAAAAAGTAGATAATGACCTAATGTTCATGTATTCCTTTAATAGTTTTAGGTTTTTATCCCTGTTCAAAAAAGACAACTTCAATACACCGCCTTGCTATACTATCAACAGGATAGTCCGAATTTGATTAACAGAACGTCAATTATTTTTTAAGACACAGGAGCTAAGAGGCTTAGGTCATTAACCTTTGACTTTGGTGTTGAAATGTGTTATCCACATTATTGGTTAGCAATTACAAAGAACGAAAATATGATTCTAAATCAATGATTTCGTTACTCTACTATTTCACATTTATATTTTGTAATGATGATCCTAAATTTATTTATTATAGTCATTGCAAATATATAGTTTAAATAATGTATCAGGCGACTCACCTATAGAACTTATATTAAAAGAGTAAACTTAAGGAGTCCTTCATTTAAACGGATGCCTCATAAAAATAAAATCCATGTATAAATTTTTGAATAATCAAAATTGTGGAAGTTTATTTTTTGAGGAATATTTATGACTAGGCTTAACTTGAAAAGGGAGTATTTGTAACAGAAAATATACGCTGGATTAACACTGAATATATACTATAGAGAAATAACACAATATATATTATAGAGAAATAAGGATACATTTACATTATAAAATCAATATACGAATAGTGTGAGTACTAATTTTATTTACAAACACACAACCTTCTAAAATTATATTAAAACGTAATTGCCTCCTGTACTTTTTTGTATATCTCCATATATATCATATCATGTATAAAGAAACCTTAATGCACAAACATTGAATAGCGAATCGTTGTTTAGAGATATAAGGACGTATTTTATTGTGTCACGGAGAGTTGACAAGATATAAACATAAAGAATATCAAGATTTGGCCTTTTAGTACACGACTAAAAGACACAAATATAATGTACATTGTAATAACGTCTTACAATAATAGTAACAACAACAAAGGCCGAGTACTCACTTGATGATCGAACTATTTTCACTCTCGACTGACTGATTCTGACTTGGTACCTTATTATGTATCATTCGTCAGTCATAATGCATGCTTATTTCCGAATGAATATTAGCGAATCAGGGTATATGTGAACTAAACAGGTGTATGGGTGCTGACACATTCTAACTCAGACTTTTCATAATTCGATAAAAAAGAAAACCGAGTTACGGCTCAGAAAAACATTTTACTAATCATTACGAATATATGAACATGTTTCAGCAATATGTTTTGTTGTATACAAACACCTTTATTACGAACTTTATCTTCATAGTCTTCATAAATATCATAAACGAGTTTTTTTGTTGAGTTTTGAGTTGTCATTTTTTCCATCCATGGCAAGTATGGCCCGACGACAGTAAAAATATTATACTTCATTGCATCTTTGAAAAGTGACCCGCATGGGGCAGCCGTTACACCGACGAGTACAGACTCTAATAAGAGTGGAGCTCCTATTCCGAACTCGGCTAGGTATGTTTTACCATCCATTTGGTATTCCTTACCGCAAACACAATAATACCATTTTGGATTCAAGCATGGGACTTGCAGATATGTTTGGGACTGTAGTGCTACTGTATTCGGCGTGTCGAGATATCCATAGCCAATTGCTATCATTTTTTTATTTCGGAGTTCAGATGCGAAATAATTTCCCATCTCAGCTATATTTATAAAAAGTTCTAGAAACGGTCGATCCACAAAAACGAGGCCGATGTTGCTGTGCAGTTTAGTTATGTTTGGATCTGTTCTTTGTAAGTCAAATATGTAGTCTGTATGAATTATAGTAGAATAAACATTGAAAATAGTATTATTATTAATTCCTTTTGTGTACACAGCTGAATTGACGACATATTTGGGTTTACTGGCTGCGCAGTTGCCTGATGTCAATACACATCGTTTGTTGATGATACTACCCGTACATAAATAATCTTTCATGTTACTCAACAAAGCTACGATATACGGGTGCTCTTCTGCTAGTCCTTCAATGATTCTCCAATCGCTTGGATCATTCGCGTCTGTAGTTAGAGTGTGCGCGTGGCCCAAGCTGTGTTCTATTTTTCTCGAAGAAAGCACTGGATGTGTCAACGTTATAATAATTATTATAATGAAAATATATAGCCACGTCGAAACCATAGCAGTCTAATATAACAAGCATTTGATGTGCCTATAGTATAACAATTTATAAATATAGAGTAAATGATTTATCCGAAAAATATTATTAAATGTCATTTCTTTGTCACAAAGAAATGTAAAACAGGATTTGACACGTTCATAACTTACAGAATAGTTTATTATAATAATTATTAGTCTATAGTATTAAGGTATAACTATACTGCACAAACAGAAATTATTGGAAAACATAAGTTACGCGCTAAATTAAATACGCTAATTAACATTTGAAAATGTTTCCACCTCTACAAATATTTTTCCGCGACTTATTTATTGATTCTGTGACAGAAATAGTTACCAATAGTACTAATGTCAGCTTAGCTTTTTCCAGCAGAATGTTTGTACAGATACGGGAAGTATAACTTGGTGAATATTCTCAGTATGTAAAGTTTCATTTCTGCAAACTTTGTTTTTGCATTGAATATTGCCTTTTCTAATTTAATTTTAGCCTAAAATATTCGTAAATCCAGTTCTAAATCACTTCGCAATTTAAAAACATACTACATATTCCTGTATGTAGTATGTTTCGCATGAGCAGGTCATCCTGCTCATACGAAATTTCGAACTCACTTCAGACTCAGATGAATTTAAGGCCATTGCATACCATAGATTTCCCTGATTGCTTCTTAAACGCCTTTACTGACTTGTTCATGTGTAATTAATAGATCAAAATAAAACTTTATTCTCTTTGAGGTAATAGTTTTAGGTAGCCATGACAGCATAGGGAGGGGGTAGTTTGAGGCAACTCTTTATCTCTTATCGGATTTATATAATTTTATCTAGATAAATCTTTATCTCTTATATCGTGATCGCGTGAATTCTAAAACAATATAGTAAAAGAGATCACGGATACATCATTAGCTCTCCATATTTCTTGCTAAGCACTACTACACTACAGCATAGCCTTTTAATTGAGAAATTTGAAATTATTAAGGTTTCCTGAACTAAAAAAAATCATTTCGTAAGAAAACAAGTGATGTGCGCTCTTATTTTTGTTCTGCCTGTCAGCACAGGAGATTGGCGTGCTTTATCAAGACGATCTGGGCTTGAAAATATCTTGTCGTACACTCGTTCTGCAGTCGACTAAGCCCAGATTTGCCGCATCATTAAGTAGAACGATGTTACATTATGAGACTACCTAGGTACCGAAATAAAAAGTTCTTCAGTACGGTAGTCTGCATTATCAAAACAAATTTTATAGTTATAATTGCATGTGAGAAGTCGAACCTGGTAAACCTTAAAATATTACATTAGTAAAATCATATCAAATCTAAAAAACTTTTGGACTGGGACGGCAAAGTATTCACAGTGTTAATGCTGTCAGGTGACAAGTTAAAATAATATTACCAGCACGTTGAAAAACGGCAAAAAAGTATTAAATTTACATTGTCGAATTGGGGTGGGTGGTAGGTAGGTACGTGCGAATACTTTACATCGATGGCCCTTCAACGAAATGCTAAGTTTAGAGGGCCCTTATCGACGTGGGTCCTTGGCATCCTTTTCTACTCATTGAAAATATTAGCAGCAATATTTTTATTTGGTTCTGACGTTAAGGAGCATGCGATGTTGTGGAGAGCACT